CTCCTGGGAGAAGCAAAGATTCTAAGCATCACCCTGTATTTGACTCTGTCTTCAGTTTCTCTTGAACTTCCTATGGATTATTCCATTCAGCTTTTGATGTCACTGTGACCTAGAAAGTTAAAATAAATAAATAAATAAATAAATAAATAAATAAATAAATTTAGTTTTATGAAAGATGAATTTTGTAAGTGTTACCCCTGGAGATGAATGTTTTTGTTATTCAGAATTTTTTTTGAAGCACCAATTCTACATATTGGTTTTCTGCTCTGCTTATGCTGCCCAGATCTTTTTCAAGCCTTCATTCTTGATGTCATGGGACCATCAGAACAATGTACTTCTCTTCTGAAAACCTCATCATGTGAGAGTCACTGCTAACATGAGTTTTGCTCCCCTCCCTTGGGGTCTGTAACCTTTCATTCCGCAGCAGCTATATGGGAAAAGAGAAGATGCTTTCTGGGTGCTTCTCACAGCGGAGTGCAAGAGGAAAGAAAGTTTTCATTAACAAGGCTTTATTTAATTTAGTCCAGTCAGGTGAAATGATTGAGATTAGGTCTAGTAACCCAGCTCTTAATTTTGTTACCTCAAGTGTTTGGGGTTTTTGTTTCTCTCCCCAGCTTACATTTTGGACAGTTGACAAGATGAGAAGCACTGGTTTTTATAGATGTGGCCTGGCAGGGATAACACATGGAAAATGTGAATTAAACCCAGTCCCCATGTGAAGCTCTCAAATGTCTTTTTTGTGGTACTGTTTCTAATGCTCCATTTGTTCTACATTTGCCCTCTGCAGAGTTCCACATTCTCACCATTCTCTTGATAATCTCCCTGAAGAAGAGAATGTGCTCAGCATATACACAATAATCAAGACTTAGAGAAGCAGCCTATTCTAATCACAGTGTCATGTGCAAGACCTGGTGCTAGAAGCCAGGAATAATACAGATCTGATTTTTACCTGCAGGCCCTTGAGCTAGCTTCTTAGTAAAGGAGGAAGTAGAAGCTCCGTGCTCTCCCTCCTGGTTTTTTTTTTTTTTTTTGTCTTTTTAGTTTCCACAAATATAGTATTTTAGTGCCTATTTGAGTGGCAAGTGCTACAGACACAAAGCCCTCAGACAACCAAATGTTGGTGGGGCACAAATGTGAGCAGATAGGGATTTGAGATACTGTACTGAGCATCATGACCAAGGAAGGTGAGTGCTGAGAGCACGTAGAAATGTTAGCAACCTAGTCCCATGTGGTTAGGGAAGGCTTCTGTGTAATAAGTGACTAAATTAAAGACCCAAGAAGGAAGGTTACTCCAAGAGAAAAGAATAAAATGTGTAAAGTCATGAAGGCAAAAGGAGCTTAAAAAGTTCAGAATGGTTCACAGGCCATGTCAAAGACTTTTTAGCTTCAGTTAAATTAGGTCATACATCCTAACGGCACCCTTAACTATAATCTCATCTATTGATGAGTATAGCACCTCCAAGATTCATCACCTTCCAAAGTCCCACCTCTGAACACATGAGACTTTAGGGCACAGTCTAGATCTAAACCATGACATCAACACTGTAGTGGTTTATTCAGACAAAACAACAGGCAAATGCTGGTTCTCAGTAGCAAACACATCCTTGTTTTCTTCATTGGCAAAAGTATAGCTAAAACCTATATCAGCATCTTTGTGAGTATAGGCATAAAGTACCAGGTGTATAGGAGATGCCTAGGAAACATTTATTTTCTTCTATTTCCATGTCCTTTCTTATCACTTGTGCAACTCAGAGTGAATCCAGAAATTTTATAGTACTTACAATGCCTAGTCACCTGACCTACTTCCTCTCTGCTTTGCCTCCCTGCTCTCCTAACACCCTGCTGTGCTCACACTGGCCTCCTTGTGGTTTCTTGAGCAACTGGACATGCTCCATCTCAGGACCTTCTGATGTTTACCTGGCTTGTTTCCTAATCTCTGTCAAGAATTTGTTCAAGTGTTGCCTCCTCAATGAGACTTCTTAAGCCACTCTTAAACACCAGCTCTCCCACATGATTACTCTTCTCCCTCCTCTGGACTTGTTTTCTTTCAAGCTTTTAACACTTTCCAATATGCTACATATTTAATTACTTAACATTTTTTATTAAAAATGAATTTTTCATTATTTAGTTTGATCATGTCTCTTTCAAGTATCATGTAAGCTCATCAAAGGCTTTTTTCTTCTCTGTTATTCATGGCTGCATCTTTAGAACACAGATTAATGTCAGCCTCCCAATGAATGAATGAATGAATGAGTGAAATGTTTACTGCTCTCTCATCTCAGTGTGTTCCACAAGAGTGGGAGCTAGGTGAACAGCAATCCTGAAGCATGTCGGTTGCTATCTGGGCATTCTCCTGCATCTGACTGGAAAGTGACCCCTAGATACACAATTAGGAAAGGATTCCAGCCTTTATTCCTTTGGAAAATGAGACTGTTGCCCTTTACCTCACTCATTGGCTATCTTTAGGGTTGCCCTCTTCAGCAACTCTTCTCCTCAACACTGCTGAACCACTTAAATTGTTTTTCTCCTTTGCTGTCCTCCTGTCCCCATTCTTTGAATTTAAAAACTCTGTGGCCAGGTGTGGTGGCGCATGCCTACAGTCCCAGCACCTGGGCTACACAGTGAGTTCAAGGCAGTCTGAGTTACATAGCGAGACCTGTCAAAAACCAAACAAACAAAAATCAGTCTCCCATTGAACCAGACGGTTCTCAGAATGTGGCATTTCTCCATTTTCTTGCCAGCCTTTGGCCTCCGAGGAAGTTTCTGTACAAGAAAGACAGGAAGAATTGAAATACACATCTTTGGTGATGCTGGCTATATGGATTTAGTTCATTCATTCATTTAGTCTTCTATAGTATTCACATTCAGAGACTCACTGTCAAGTAAGAGAGACTGAGAACAGACAAAAGCAAGAGAGATATGTATATGAAGAAGGTTTTTCTATCAGTCAAATAGGTTGCATAACAATTTCAAAACCTCAGCGGCTTCCAAAAACAAATATCCTTTTCTTGGTTCCTGTCTTAGTTACTTTTTACTAATTGCTGAGACAAAATACCTGAAGCCCAAAGTTGAGAAAGGAAAGCTTTATTTCTTACAGTTTTTGGAGGTTTCAGTCCATACTCAGTTGGCTCCAAGGCAGGGTGGCATGGCTGGGCTGCAGTTCATGACAGGAGCAAACAGCAAGGAGGAAATAGGCAAGAGTAAGACACATCTTCCTGCCATTACATTACATCCTGGCTCCACCCCTAGGCTGATGTAGCAGTCGCACCCCTAATCCAAGCGCTAGATAATGAACCAATCACAAATGCATAATGCAAAAGCTTGGGGCCTGGGGGCCACCCACATAAACCATGACAGTTCCCTATCTGTGGATCAACTAGGTAGCCCTACTTTAGAGGCTTGGGTCAAGGTCTGTTACTGGGAGGGAGCAGAGAGTTGGGAACAGTAATTTATTCTATCACAACATTTAATTGTGGCTCTGGAGATTAGCAGATGCTTTATTAAGGTGGTAACTTGGATCTTTCTTGAAATGTGGGTAGTTTTCAGGACAAATGAACAGACCAGAACATATGTAAGTGTGTGAAAATTTTAAAAAGGAGATTGAAGTAATGTCTTATTATTTATTGAAGTGATCACTATGGGTGATCTGTAGGAGTTGTATGAAAATAAAATAAAATAAAGATCATCAGAGTATCTGTTCATGAAGTCCAAACTTCACAGGAGAGATAAGAAAAAGATGTAACACAAAGTAGAAGGAAAACACAGAGCCAAGTACAATCTTATTCACCTGGATGAAACAAAATGTGTGAACTTTGAAGAGAAGCTACAATATATTTTCAGTAACTAGCTATGGAACAGCATGCAACATATGTGCTGTTTTATATTTATTATCTTGTTTAATTTTTATGATTTATGTAAAACATAACATTAAATACAAATAGACAAATGGAGTCTCAGAGTAACTTACTTAATGGCTTATAGTTAGTAAGTCATAGGGGGACTACTTCCAAGTAATTCTGTTTTGCAGGGAATTTATTCAATGAACTTTACTCACTAATGTACACATTCTATTTTGTTCTTAAGTGGAACTGCTTCAAATTTAACAAACACATGGTTTTGAGTATCTACTATATGTGCAGCACTGTATTTTTCAAAAGACCTGGTCTCTGGAATAAATAATATCCAAAGTTTCATCTAGCTGTGGCATTTGTTAAGTGTAACTTTCTCATGTCACATGGGTTTAGGATACCTCAAAGAAAATAGAGTTCTCAAAAATGCTTGTTTTTGGGGCTGGGGATTTAGCTCAGTGGCATAAGCGCCTGCCTTGCAATCAGGCAGTCGTGAGTTCAATCCCCGGTACCGATAAAAAGGAAAAAGACAAAAAAAAAAAAAAATGCTTGTTTTGGATGGTGGAATGTTTTAAAATTTTCTTTTTTCCCCCTGTTTATATTACATACAGCAAGTGTTCAGAAATAAAAGAAGGAATAGCTTAGTAGTTTCCTCTAGGTGCAGCAAACATTAGAGGCACAACTGGTTGAATAATTCCTACTATTCTGCAAATTACCTTTCCTTAATACTAATCTCTACCACACAGCACAAATACTGCAGTGGAACTTTCCTATTTATGAAGAAGTAAAATTTAACATTTGTATGTCTCGTTTTTTATTTAAAATTACTTGACCACTGGAATCACATCTGACCTTTAGCCTGAGTTTTTAGCCAGAAATTATGCAGAACCAGTTCCTTTTTGCAGCCATCCTTTTCTGAGGTGTATTGTTAAACATTGACAGGCATTTTTGTGTGCTCTACATCTTGACCATCTGGCACTGGGTTGGAGCATATTTCATGATGCCTTTACCATGTACTCAGAAAGCCAGCTGAACTGGTTTCCCTCATCTCAGAGACCATCTCATGTGGTCATTTTAAAATCTTGTCGTACGGAGCAGTGCTTTAGGAGTTGCCTCTCACTCTCTTCTGTTTGCTGTTTCACAACTCCCCAGATCAAGGATGCTCCGACGTTGCTGCCTCTCACACTGACCACAGAGACGGAGAGAGAAGCCATTGTGTGTGAGACTGGACCAGAAAGAGAGTGGACTGGGAATGCTGCTAGGGGCACAAGGAATGCAGTCATCTCTTGGGAGCCTCTTCTCTACATCTTGCACAAACTGCTACTTCCTCGTGGCAAAAGTCATGTAGGAGGAGTTTGCTATCAGCCACCCAAAACTTTTGCTGAGCCCAAACAAGACTTTTGTTGCAGAACTGAACAAGATATTATTTCATTTCACTTCATTTCATTTTTGCATCCTTCATCCTTCTTAGTTTTAGTTTTAGCTGTTTAGCTACGTCCATTTCAAGCTGCATTCATTACTATTATTTTTTGTTTACACTTTTCAAAATGATTGACTTAAGCTTTCTGACAGAAGAAGAACAAGAAGCCATTATGCAGGTTCTGCAGCGGGATGCTGCCCTGAAAAGGACCGAAGAGGAGAGAGTAAGGTAAGAGGCCATAGGAGTCCTCTGGCACAGGGAAAAAAGAGGGTGTTTAAATGAAAATGAGACTTTTTTGTTTTCAGCCACAAGTGGTAGTTCTGAGTTGGAACCTAAACTTATGAGTTCCAATTTTAGGTTGATTTCCTGTTATAGAAATTTTCTTCCTTGTGTGTCTTAATTTACACCATTGGACACTGACCAGAAATAGAATATTGATTAAAAATAAGCCAGGTGCAGTCGTGCATGCTTATAGTCCCAGCTGCTCAGGAGGCTGGAGTGAAAGGATCATCTGAGCCACAAGTTTGAGACCAACCTGGACAATATAGTGAGATCTCATTTTATAAACCAAAGAAGAAACTGTGCTCCTTTCACTTATTAAATTATGAGTTAAAAGTGAAATACATAAATATGCATACATGTTGCTATATCCATGTATACCTGTGAATATTTTATATCCATGTTTCAAAATGGAATTTGTTTTTTAACTGAAGCATGAGCTAAGATATTTTAAATTTCTAAAATATTTATAAGAAAGTAAATTCAGGAATATCTTCAAATTTTTGTATACTTTCAGAAAGACTGGAATGAGACAGGGTCTCACTGAGTTGCCCAGTCTGGCCTTGAACTCACATTCTCCTGCTTCCTGAGTGCTGGGATTCTAGGCATGAACCACCTCCCCTGGCTGGAATTGATTTTAACAGTAAAAATGAAAATGTTCTCTGAACAGATAGTATGGCATACCATGAATGAATGGATGGATGTGTTCTCTGATCTAGGCAATATTTTATTTGACTTGAGTTCCATAAGGAAGAGTGGCACCTTTGACATAATGTCCTTGTTGGGTGGAATGCAAATGTCCAACCCAAATGTTCAGCATCCTTACCACTTCCATTCACCTTTGTGGTAGAAAGAGAACAAGGCCAGACTTAATCTACGCCCTACTATTCACCATCTAAATCTTGGGTTTTGATGACAGTGATAGGCTTCTTGAATGTGAGTTACTAGCATTAGCTTTGTGGGCCCCTATCTCAAGCATATCCAAAAGGACCATAAACCATATGCTTATTTCTTGGCACATGAGCACCATGAATTTATTTATTTGTACCATTTCCCATATTCTGACACTAATAGAATATGGATGTTTTCTAAAAGAACATGCTGAAATTCTCATAAACTCTATAGTATGTGTGATTATAATAATAACATGCATAATAACTTACTGATAATAACTTATGCATAGGAATTATAATAAGTTACAAAGGTTTCAATATACTTTTTATTTCATATGCACTCACACACTCCTGTGAGGTGGAGTGGAATAGGATTACCTCATTTGATGTGTGAGGAAATTGACTTTGAGAAAGATCAGATGACTTGTCCATGATCATACCACCAGTAGGTGTCAGAAATGAGATTTAAATCCCAGTCTTGAGGTATTCATTCCCTAACACTACCTCTTCTCCTTGAGAAAACAGTGACAGGTTAGTCTGGGATCTGGCAGTAGGGAGGGAGCAGGCTCTCAAAGTATAAGCTGTAAATCATGAAAATGGGATCATGTTCTTTCCACAAGTCACTTGTGATGCTGCTTCTTTTTCTCAAGAAGCAGGGTGTCTCAAATAGTGTCCCCAGGAGGGACAGAGGGTCAATACTTCTCTCGGCAGCAGAACCCCTTGGTGACATTGATGCTTTCTTTACCTGTTCACAGTTTATAAAGCCCTTTTATGAACATCTCTCTTACATTTCTCATAACAACCCTGAGATTGGGTGAATAAGGACAGTTACACCCATTTAGAAGTAAAGCACCAGCCAGTCTAAGCCATTGCAAAAAATCTGAGTCCTTTATAGTCTCGGTTTTCAGCCTCTCCTCTGGTCAGCTATTCCTAAGGGTATCACAGCAGCTGTGGAGAGTGCTCCTCTTGGGTTTTTTGCTTTTGTAAATAAATAATGGGAAGAAGCCTTGGGGTGGTAAGAAATCTAGTACAGGTCAAGTCCTAGCTCCCTCTCAAGGGGACTCACTGTGTGCCAAGCTCTTTTTGTGGACTTGGCCACAGGCAGATCCAGGATCCTAGCTGACAGTGTGCACCAAATGAGGGCAGACGGGGGTGAGGCAGTGACCTGTGGACATTGAAAGAGCCCAAACTGTGGCCTGTTCCACACAAGAATCTCATGGAACTGAAGAATTTCAGGGATGCTCTTGAGATTGTTCTGCTTCTGGACTGATGGAACCAGAACTTGGTTTCTGACCTGAAAATGTTACTCCTGGCTTTTGCTTACCAACTCAACTCCTTTGCCATCCCTCAGCTATTTGTCCACCAGTCAGTGTTCCGGAAAGGAGCTGTTTTAGCCCACATCAGTAATTTTACAAACAAGAAATAAAGGCAGAAAAGAGAAATGACTTTCCCAGGGTCATGTAGCTAGTAAGTCCTAAAGCTACAGGAAGATAATTTCTTGGCCCACTGCTTTTCCCTTTGCCTTATGCTGCTCATCGCCACTTATTATTCCCAACAGGAATAATAAGCTGCATGGACCTTGGAGTCCAATTCTATCTCTACTGCTAATCAACTCTGATTCACTGGGCAAGTAATTTAGTCTCTCTGAGCCTCAGTTCAGAGATTGTGAATGACCACAGTATCAAATTCAAATGTTTAAAGTCAGAATTAAGTAAAATATTTCTTAATCTTCCCGGCACGTGATGATGATGGAGACATTTTAGTCCCCTTAACCACCATTTCACCTGTGTGTTTTGAAAAAAGGTTCTAGTTAATAACCTTATTCCTTAGCAGGAAATTACTCCTAGAACTCTATTATTTAATAAAGTAAAATTTAATTGAGTACCTATTAAGTGCAGGGAACTGCTCTGGACAATGTCATGAAGAAAATTTTAGGGTGCTGAAAACAAGATCCCAGCCATCAAGGACTTTACTACCTAATGATTAGCCTTTATCCATTTAATGGATTATCAAATGCAGATTTAAAATTTAAATTTTGTTCCCCTGGATGATACTACAGTGTGCCAGTTCTTCTATTTGGCATATGGTTTAAAAATACCAACTATATAATTATAATATTACCCTAAGCAAAACATCATTAGAAAGATAGAGCTGCCACTATAATTCAGCCTGTTCTTTCAAATTCTAATTTTTCTTTTTTTTTTTTCGTCTTTTTCCTTTTTATCGGTACCGGGGATCAAACTCACGACTGCCTGCTTGCAAGGCAGGTGCTTATGCCGCTGAGCTAAACCTCCAGCCCCTCAAATTCTAATTTTTATGGGGTTGAGGCCACAGTCCTCCTTTAGTCCTGAGGCCATCACTAATCAGTGCTAGCACTGCTGCCTACAAGACCAGATATTTGCTTCAAAACCCTGATTTTCAGTAGGACCTCAGAACTTTCAGAAGAATTTCTAGTAGCTGAGATTTGGCATTCAAATTGAAATCTGCTTACCATTCCTGATATGTCTGGTGCTTTGAATAGCTCATATCCAGCCTCACTCAAGACACTTTGGAGATTATAGTTTGCATGTTACCTCCTATTCTGATTTTATGGATGAAGAAAAATGAGTCTCTATAGTAGCATCCAGTTCCCAAGTCACTCAACATGTGAATGTTAGAATATCAGCTGGGATCTAGGAGTTGTATCCTCTGTTGTATCTCTGGGGTATAGTTCCAGGTCACTACTCTCATTTGTGTCACTTCTCTTCCTATAGCCACAAGTGCTGCCCCAGTTATCAGCTTTTGTCCCTAACTCCTAGGTAGGGCCATTTCTCAGTCTAACAGGAAAGCAGATCAGAACTCTGTCTCTCTGTCTCTGTCTCCTCACCACCACCATCTCCGTCTCCTTCTTTTTTCCCCTTTATCCCTCTTTCCACTTTTTTTCTCCCCTCCCCAGCCTTCTATCAGTTGGTCTGGGTTTATCTTATCCATCCTGCCTTTCAAGCAAACACTATCCTATTGCACACATATAATTTTAGTCATTTATGTTTTGAAAATGACATACTCTAGAGGTGTTTTATCCTGTGTTGTGTGTCACATTGCCAGCAGGAAATTGCTGCATATGTATGTCTGTGTACCACACCAGATCCATGGCCCCACAACTAAATACACAAGCACATCACACAGTGATGGATGCTTTTGCAGTAGATGCCATCTTAACTGCTACATCTTATAAGTCTCAGCTCCTGCCGTCCTAGCTTGTTTTAAATGAAAGCTGAAGAACTGACTTCAGGACCTCTGATGTCAGAGGAAGAGGGAAAGGAACCTGCATTTATAAAGGGTCTGCACTACACGTGGAGCTCCCCATACATCTTCTCCTTTCATCATCGGAACATTTTAGCTGAGTTGTTCGACAGATGAGGAAATAGGGTGGAAGAGGCCAGGTGCCCTGCAGACTTAGAGCCTTGCCGATCTAACTCCCAAGCCTGTGTTCTTTCTATCCACTGTGTTGCCTCTCAGCAGACTGTGGAGTTTTGTGATGTCTAGAGTCTAGTCTGGAGTCTAGGAATGCCGTTTCTTAACCTTTTTCACTGTAATAAACATTTCAGTTTCTTTTGTCTCCAGATATGTTGGTTTCCAAATTCTTCGTTAAAGGGTAAGTCCCTTGGACTAAAGAATGAAATGTGGTCACGTCTTAAAACCACAGCCATGCTTAATCTCTGAGGCAGGATAGGGTAGTGGAAAGAGCATTAGCTGAGAGTCAGAATGGCTCCTTGTCCCAGCTCTGTGTGATCTTTGACAAGTATCTTTACTTGCCCGGGACTCAATCATTTCATCTAGAAAGTGAATACGTTTGCAACTACCTAAGGTTTTTTCCAGCTCTCGCATTCTAAGAATACTTGTGAGTCACATAGTCATGCACAGATTATACCGGGGGTGGGGGAAGGATTAAACAATATGAAAAAGAGAAGACTAAATAATGAACCCATCATCTCTCTGGCAAGCCTGCTGATTCTTACTATCCTAATTGGCTGGATCAACCAGGTCCTGCTCTGAAATTATATCTGTTTATCCAGAGGAGCTAGAAGCTGGGATGTGCACATGTGAACACAGGGAGAAAAAGCGGTGGGTGAAAGTGTTGAAGGCGGGGGGGGGGGGGCTGTGCTTCTAGCTTTCCTGCATAGCCCTCACACTATCGGTGCCCTGGAAAGAGTTGACAGTGGCAGTTAGAGCTATAGACTGAATTTATATGTATAACTCAACAGGTATGCCTAGTGTGTGACAGAGAAACTGTAAGTTATCATGCTATGACTGTTTATGGTTTCTTTCACCAAGAGCACTGACCAATGCCATATTTTTTGGTGCTTTTTTCCTGTTTTGATAAGAGATGAGCATATTCTGCCTCAATAGAAGACCCTGCCATTGCGATGGGGCATGGATCACTGAACCTCAGCAGTGACAAGATCTTCATTATCTCTTGCCTGACTCAGACTAGGGTCACTGCTGAGCTTTTGTTTGATTTAGTCACTCAACAAATAGTTACTAGGTATCAGCCCTGTGCCAGGCTCTGTGCTATGTCAGCATTACAAAAGTGATTACATGTAATCCTTGTCTTCAGGGAGTTTGCAGAGTTCACAGATTGGTGGGTGAAACAGATATGTAAACAAATCATTGTAACCTGGTGTGGTAAATGCTGAGGACAGGTGCTGTGGAAGCTTGGAAGAGGGCGCACCTTCTTGATCTTTAGGTGCAGCTGAAGGATGAGGAGCAATGTGTTGGAAAGAGGAGCAAGGGAAATACATCCCAAGCAGCTTCACATTCACTGGTCTCTTCCCGAGAACTAGGCACTGTCCAGTACTTTCAGGCAAATACTTCAGCTACCTATCTCAGAAGTCCTACAAGATAGGTCTCATTTCCACCTTGTTTATACAAGCAAGGAAACTGAGACTCACTTGAGTTCAATTTCCTATTCATGGTCACAGGCAAGAAGAATCAGTACTGAAATAAATCTAGGTGTAATTTGGGAAGCCTCCAAAGCCTGTATTCTTTCTGCCATACCTTCCTGCTTCTTCTGGCTTCTACAGGAGTCTCAAAGAGCAGTTTGGAGGAGAGTAAGAAGCTGAGTGTGCTGGTAAGTGGGGTAGCCAAGTGCTGGAAAATGAATCTGAGTGCTGGTAGCTTGAAGCCAGCCGTTCAGGGGTCCAAGACACTGTCTCTGCAAGCACTGATTCCGTACCCCACCCCCAGGAGCTCAGTCTGCTGGGGAGAAGTGGAGAATTTCTCACTTCTGGAAATGAACTCAGACTTGGTGTGGTTGGGAGCAGGAGGCAAAGCTACACCAGTAGCCCATCAGGGCTTATCTGCTCTGCTCAAAGCCTTAGGCACTGGACGTATTTAATAAGAAGCATATTCTCTTTGATACTCAGAACAATGAAGTGACTTTGCTGTCCTTGTTAAAATCTGGAAATGGGCTACCATGACAGTGTATGGCCATGCTTGTGACTGGACAGATTAGGGATAAGATCCCTTTTCCTGGGTAATTGGGAAAAGAGAAAAAATTCCAGCAAAGTTAACCAGGCATGTTTGGGAGAAGGGAGACATCTTCGGTAGACTTAGAGTAACTGCCCCCACCTGCACTCCCATTTACCACGTATGCTTGAAAGCAGCACTCACGTCCAGCCCTGCTGCCCTGTTGGCCCCTTCACATTCTCTGACTAAACAATTAGATTTGCTACTTTAGGAGGTTTGCATATTAGCTCAAATAACCATCACAAAGCTCTTGGATTTGTGTAGTATGTTGTTTTAAGAGTTTGAAATTTCCTGAGGCTTTTATTCCTTTCTATTCTGAATATAACTATGAATAAGAAAAGATATTTTTGGGATTCACATTTTATGAAGATGGATGCAGAGGCCAAAAAAAATGTATCAATTAGAGCAATTTTCCCAGTCCATATAAATTAGGAAAGTATTAGAAGGGCAGCATTGATTCTATGTAAATTTTAGCTTTTCAGTGAGTGTGAATGATTGTAGAACTTTAAAGCATTATCTGCACAACTGGAATTTGCCTGCACACTCTGCTTCTGTAACTTAGTCTTTCCTGATTATTCCCTTGTGTTCATTCCCTTAACAATATGCACTAGGGACATCATGCTGCCTTCCTCTAATCTTCCAGGAAAGTTTCTGATTAAACATATTTCTCCACAATGGAAAGGATTGAGTAACTGGTAACTAACTATTCCTGAGTTATTTCTCCAGTGTTTATTAGGTACCAGCCATGCTCAGTTTACATGTGTTATTAGTTTATTTTATCCTTAAAATAGCCTCCAAAGATGGGTTACTGTTTTAATTGCCCATTTACAGATAATCCAGTGTTTCAGAAAGCTTCCGAGATCATTCCTCTCTGATGTACATGCATTGAAACAGTAGATACAGAAGACTACAACTAAGAAATGAATCTGCTCTTGAGAAATTTCAGGCATCACCTAAGGATCATGGGTTAAATCTTTGAATTGAGATATGTATATATTAGCTTTGGCTTCTCTGAATTTCCAATCAAAGTGGAACACTTGTTAGTCATCTGGGAGGTTTGTGGTGTCCAAAATACTGAGCTTCATTTTGCCTTTCTGTTTACAAATTTATGTTTGCACTGTCACAATGAATTCATTTATTTACTGCAAGTTCTCAGTAAAGAGCTCTTTTCCTTTTGTAGACATTTGCCTGAAAAAATTAAGGATGACCAACAGCTAAAGAATATGAGTGGACAATGGTTTTATGAAGCTAAAGCAAAAAGACACAGAGAAAAAATCCATGGTGCAGATATTATCAGAGCGTCCATGAGAAAGAAAAGGCTCCCGGTGGCAGGTAAGGTGACTGGCTGTGTGCCTATAGCCAGCATTTCTTTGGGAAGGAGGAATGGGGAAGGATGTCAGAATCATTAATGAAATCTGCTGAGGGAAACCTTTTGGAGGTATGCTTTGCATAATTTATGACCTTGCAGCTCAAAATCTTCTTGCCTGGGGTTTGGATGGATAAGGGCAGGGCCAAGTGACTCAGTGTGGTACAGAGGAACAGGAAGCCCTTTGGGCACTATGTTGAGTTGCAGTAGCTTACATACATGGGATTCATCAGAGGTCTACCACCTCTTCTTTGTCTTTTAACCCCGGAAATTCTGAACCTTCTGAGTAAGATGAAGGTTCAGACAGAAAGAGACAGGCCTCCCTGTTTGATGGTCTTGACAACGGATATTTTTTAAATCAACCAAGTACATTCTTTCAGGGATTATAAAGGTAATTTTTTGAGGACTTACTTAGAATTTTTTGAGTTTAGTAGATACTTACTGAATGGCTTTTCTCTAACTCTGGGTTAGTCGGTATAAACCCCTGTCTGGATCTAGCCTGTATGCCATAAACAAAATAGCTGTTACCTTTTGTGCATCTATTGTAGACATATTCTGCTATTTAATCTTGTAAGTATTATTTTCCCCATCAGCTTTCTTGGACAAGCTAGGGGTTACTTGCCTGAGATCATATTGCTGACAAATGGCAGAACTAGAATTTCAAATCTTTCTCAGTGCCATAGTTCATGCAAGATAAGGACTATTTGTTTTGTGTGGACAGTGCACTGTATGTAGCGCTCATGATTTTCAAAACTACCTAGACCTTAAGAAATCTTAAAGGGTACTGCTTAGTGCTGTGTTCTCCATTTTGCAGTTGAGGAAACTAGAATCCTGTGTAATGAGACCTGTAGGGAATACCACCCTGGTTCTATTTGGCAATTAAAAGCCCACTACTGCTTCATCTTAACACTGCTGAGTGTATTTTTGACGTATACTTGCTATTGGGCCTTAGGTGGTTTTCTTGACTTCTTTGTTCCTCAATTTCCAAATCTGTAAATTTGAAAATTGTTCTTACCCTATAGGATAATGCAAAGATCTCAGCTCTGTGCCTAAGTCAGTCATCACTCAAGTATGTTAATCATCAGAGCGGTTCCAGTAAAGGAAGAATATGGAATGTTCAGAGGCAAAGAGGTTATTTCCTGAAGAGGGAGCACAGAGCTTTTATGGGATTCTGACACCTGTCCTGGGTGTATGTAGACTGGAAAAAGGGAATAGAGGAGGCACTGGAGAGGAATAGTCTAGATTAATATCATTTGTTCCCTCTTTGTATCTCAGGGTCAAGCATCCTGTTGCATACACTAGATATTTAATCAATGCTTGGTAGGGATGATGCTTCTATGCCAATGAGTATTGCCTACCCTGCACATCTGCTGGCCATACATCAGCCCTGATCCCAATTAAAATCAGATTAACATAGAGGCAGTCAGCATTTTGAATTAGTGGCCTCTTGAGTTACATGCACATTTAAAGGTATACCCATACTCTTAGGAAATTCTGCGTGAGGGGGAGCTAATGTCACGGAGATTTACTGACTTCTCTTAAAGATGTAATTATGCTCCTGAGACTCAGATAGCTTTGGCATTCAGGAATCCTGAGGTTCAGGTTTGAGCCCTCAGTGATAGGAACTGAGAAGAGAGTTATAGATTATGAAAGTAAGAGATAACCTTCCTGTGTTTATTATTTCCTATTTCAGCTGAGCAGAGTAAGGACAGAGCAATCAGGGCAAAGGAAAGCTGGGTGAATAATGTCAACAAAGATGCTTTCCTTTCCCCAGAGCTATCTGGAGTTGTAGAAGAGCCAGAAGACAAGGCAGCCCCAGCAAACCTAAGGTAAGATAGAGATTTCCAGGAGAGCTGCGGCTTCTGAATTTCTGGGCTTAGTGCGTTGTCTGGGCAAATGGCAGATGAGGTGTACAAAGCCTGGACTGATGATATAGATGTGGGGAAAGGAGTAGTGTATATAGAATTCCGGGTCCTAATAAAGACAAAGACAAAGCAGTACTTTTTCCTCAAATCCCAGAATTTTTTTGTTTTCTTTTTTAAAATTTTATTTTAAAGGGAAAAAAATTGCAAAACAAGATAACAGAGGAATAACAATGCTTACCACCTTGCATATTATCCTTTTTTATTTTTTGTCTTTTTTGAGAAAGGGTTTCACTATGAAGTTCAAACTGGCCTTGAACTCACTTTGTAGTCCAGGTTGACCTGAAACTCGCAGTGATTCTCCTGCCTCAGCCTCTCGAGTGCTGAGATTACAGGCATGAGCCACCATGCCAAGCTGCATATTGTTCTTTTTAAATCAGTTCCTTAGAGTACCAGATATAGGTATTTAATTGTCTAAACAATGTTAACACAAACTTTTCTTTTCGATGAACTAAGGGAAATTAGTATAACTTTCGTAACTATCATACATATATATTCTTTTTTCTTTTCCTTTTCTTTTTTTCTCTTTTCCCATATCAGTTTCTCTTTCCTTTTGAACAGTTTCTTCCCATTTGACAGTATCTATTGTACATTTTGGATCTTATTCACTTTCTCAGCTTCTCATACTAGGGAGACAATACAATGTTGATACATTGTATTGTTTGATTTCTTTCACTTATGAGTATGATCTCAAGTTGCATGTATTTACCTATAAAAGTATCCAGTTTATCCTTCTTTATGACTGAGTAGTACTTCATTATATAAAATGACCACATCTTTTTTTATACATTCCTCAGTCAATGGGCATTTTGGTTATTTACAGCATTTAGCTATTATAAATTGTGCTGCTATAAACATGGGTGTCCATATGATATGATGTTTTTAATTCTTCTGGGAAGATGCTCTGAAGGGAAATAGCTGGGTGGAATGGGACCTCCAATCCCAATTTTTTGAGGAATCTCCACACTGATTTCCACAGTGTTTACATCCACCTACACTCCCACCAACAATGGAGAAGGGTTCCTTTTCCCCAATGACTCCTCCAACATTTGTCATTGGTTGATTTCTTGATGATAGCCATTCCTTCTGGTGTGAGAAGGAATCTTAGTGTTGTTTTAAGATGCATCTCTCAAATGACCAGTGACATTGAACACTTTTTCATATATTTATTTGCTGTTTTTATTTCTTCATCTGAGAGTCCCAACTTTCAGAATTTCTAACAAATCTAAATCTTAAAATGTCAAATATGATTGCTTTCAGCACCAGCAATAGCTGATTTTAAATTGGTACTAAGGGTTTCTCCTTAAAGTGGGACAAAGAGGTACTCCAAAATACAGAACAGTGATATCAAAACTTTTAGAGACCAAACGCCCAAACTACAACCCCAGATACACTTATTTGTTGCAGAGTGCCAGCTAGAAAAAACAACTGTTATCCAGTGCTCAGCTACTGGAGCAACTTAGCTCACATGCTGACAGAGAGAATTCTGTGTATCTGTTTCAGCACACGTGCCATAGATTCACACCACTGGTGCAGAAGAATAAGTCATTTCAGCAAAAAGGCAAATTATAATCTGATTGTAACAGCTTTGTGCATGGAAGCAGTTTAAACCCAAGAATCAGACAGACAGGAATTTGAAACCCAAGCTTGCCACTTAATAGGCGTTTAGCTGTGGGCAATCACTTAGCCTCTAAATGTTCTTTCCTTCCTTTTCTGTCTGTCTGTCTGTCTGTCTCTCTTTTTGCCTTTTTTTTTCTTGGCAGATTCTCACTGTGTAGTACAGGATGGCCTTAAACTTGCTTATGTAACCCAAACTGCCTTAAATTCATGATGATCCTCCTGTCTCAGCTTCCCTAGCGCTGGGATTATCAGCATGTGCCACCATGCCTGGTGTATTTTCTTAACTATAGAAAGGAAGAATGATATATACTCAAAAGGCTATGGTTTTGCTGGGGATTTAACTCAGTAGCATAAGCACTTGCCTGGCAAGCATGAGGTCGTGAGTTCGATCCCCCGTACTAAAAAAAAAAAAAAGGCTATGGTTTTGATTTTTTTGTGTTTTTCTGTTCATGTTTTCATGACCAATTAAAGTGTACATTTGTATGTTGTTCCATAGAAGTAGCTAATTGTGGGTCTGTATTACTGTAGATCCTATAGGCTACAATGATTTGCTTTTAAGTATTTAAAGATCTTCTGATGCTGTCTGTCTCTTTCCATAATTTACACTTATGTTATTCTATGTTTTCCTTGTGTGACCTCAGAAATATCTTTTGGGTCTTATCTGTAAATCAGAACAGGATTTTCTTACTAGAATGTTGTGAGGTTAAATGAAATAAGGTGTGGGAATCAGCATTTCTCAGAAAGAAAATTGGCCATTTTTCCAGTGGCATTATAATAATGTTATTATTACATGGATAAAATGCAGTGCTGAAGGCAAAGGGGTTAGGTGTAGCCAATGAGCTTTGCTCATTTAAGCCAACTCTACAATTTGTGGCCTAGGTGATAATCACTCTGAATTATAGAAGGAGTTATTTTTTGCTTTCTCCTTTCCAGGTCACAAACTATTACTGTACTCCATATCAAGTTCCTGCATTATTTTCCACTTATACTTTAACCTTTGTGCACTGGGTGTGATAAGTGTATTTTGGGGCCTGTACTTTTAGACTAAGTGAATTTCAACAGAATGATTGTACTTGTCAATATTTTCTTAGCCACGAGTCAGGAACTGAAAAGCATGAGACCACAGTGGTGACATATTGCAGTTTCTGAAGGAATTTTCCTACTAGGTTTAGTAGCAAGGTCTTTCAGTTGTGGGCAAATTTCTGTGAGGTCCGATCCATGAAGAATTAAAGTGCTGAATACCTACCTAGCACATAGTTATGCATCGGCAGCAGCCTGCATTCTTTGTGAACTCAGTTTTTTTGACCTGTTGTATAAGGAAGCAGAAAGAGGTGAATGAGCAGAAAACAAGGTTCCCTTTAGAGTGGCAAAGAGAAAACTCCAACACTCATGATTCTTGGTCTAGTTATTGACTTTTTGTTGTGCAGTGTCGGCTGGACCAAGACCTTTTAAAGTGTAGTAGAAGACTTGTTTCATTTTTATTTCAGATTTTCAAATCTAATCATCACAGGTTAATACCTTTTTAAGAATGTAAATATGAAGTGCAGAGAACAGTAACATTGTACAACAGACCAGTGGTCATGTGCTGTGATGTAAATGGTTCTCAACCCATACCTCCAATTTCTGTACTTAGTGTGAATCAGTGACTATGGACTAGCACTGATCCACAGCCACACATGGATAACACATTGTGTCCCCCTCCCTAAAATGATTGCTGAACGCATGTACAATAAGCCACAGGACATGGCTGAGTTAAGTGGAGAGTACAGAATATAGACATAAGAAGCTTCTGCCATGCGGGTCAGTTCACAATGGAGAACTGAACAACATGGAGGTGGGCTAGAACTTGACTGGTGCAGAGGTGTCTAATGTCAATGAGTTAAAAAAAAAAATCTCCAGAGAATTTTTCAGAAATGAGTTCAAGGAGGTTAAATATTTCATTATGGTATCTCATTCCATGACTTTGGCAGGTTTTTCTCTGAGCATTTTACTCAGAGTTTCCCTATAAGCAGATCTGCATTCTGATCTTTGTTCTTGGTAGAATTAAAACAAAATTTTATAAATCAGCCTAATGAACCAAAGTGCTTCTCTGGGCTTCACTGCCTTGGCTTTAGTGATTCTCACTCTCTCTACCAGTCTTTCTCTTTGTTGTGTGGGAAGCAGTCTATTAAAACCGTATCTTTAGCTGTGGAATAACACTTTTTCCTACCAATGCTCTTTTCTTGGAAGGTTTCTGTCTCTCTATATATATCTATGTCCCTCTACCAGAAGGATGAGGTAATTGCCTTCTTCTCTGTAATGTACAATCTTCTCCCAAGGGCAGGGTATGGATGAGTTAACCTATGGGAGATGTGTTTGATATTATCCTCAAGGATTGACAGTAAAGTAAAGATTCCATTTTTAGAAGGCCTGACACATAGAATCATTTATATTGAGCTTAAAGAGAGCATTTCAATTTCACCTTAACAGATTTTGAAACTACTTAAGTCAGCTGTGCAAAGAATAATTTTCCTGGAGTTCAAATGGGAATATTTGTGTTTGACAGATCTGTAGCATAAACTGTGTCGCACTGGAGGACTGTACAAGCAATATTTTGGTTCATGATAATACTGACTTGAAGAGCTCAGGATAGCATGATTTCTACTTGCTTCCTTCACTCATCCCTGAGCTATTTCTCCACTGGTTTATTAGTTCAAGCTTCATTTGGATCCAGTAAACACCATCACAGTGCTGGGTGATAGGGGTGAGAAGTAACACCTACACCTCCAAGGAACTCAGTCCAAAGGGAGAGATCAAAATGAGAAAGACACAAAAACAATCACTTGAAGAACTTCTTTCTGGTTCTGTAAACATAACATTAGATATTATCTTAATAATTTTAATGAATCAAACTAATTTTGTCGAAGTGCTACTTCCAATATTGTATGTCCTTTTTGAAAACTGATGAGGGAAGGAAGTTACAGGCCTTGGGGTATACAATTTGGTTTGCTTTACAACTTTTTAAAAAATCATGTAGAAAACCTTGAGTATCTTTTAAGTTTATAACAGTCTACCAGCCTCTGGGAGGAGTCTTAAGAAACAAAAAAACACAAAGACACTGTATTCTCTTAAGAAACAGAATGGGTTTCTATATAAAAACCTGGTCACATGGTAGCAAAGAATGTTGCCAGGAACAAATTTCTAACCCAAAGTACCAATCAGATATGCTGGAATAATTGAAATAAGGAAGATTCACTCCTAGCCAAGATAATACAGAAGATGAAACTTGAGTTGGGCTTGAAGATGATGGGGATGATTTAGGCAGAAAAAGGGGCCAAGGGATTGGTTGAGTGGAAACAGCAAAGAGGTAGGTGAGTTTCTGGGACAAAAAAGTAGATAGGCCATTTGATTGGCATAGATGTTCAACAGAAAGGAAGAGTAGGGTGGTATATTGGGTCAGATGGTGAATGGGCTGTGGTGCCTTGCTTAGAATTCAGTATTCATTCCACAGGCCTTGAGAATCCAGAGGGAGGTAATGAGCAGAAGAGGGGATATGATCCAAGTTGTGTTTTAGACCATTTAGGCTTAGTGCCTGAATCATGAATGGATTATGGGAGTGGAACTTTTAGAAAGACACAGATGGGGAAAATACAGTTGAAAGAAATAAAAGTATCATTAAAGGTTAAAAAAGATATAAAATCATTAGGAAGGGAGAAACACTGAGAATTAACTCTATCTAGTCTTCTTGCTACAAACCACTGCTTTAATCATGCAAGAAGTCAGAGACAGAATAATTTAGCCACTTCCATGTTTGCATTTGGAGTCAGACATAACTGGATTTAAATCTATGACTCTCACAAACTAATACTGTGACATTAAACAGGTTACTTAACCTCTCTAAACTGGAGTTGTTTTCATAAGGAAAATGGGGAGAATGGAACATACCTCATAGATGTTGCAAGAATGAATTGAGAATGAGGTGATTGCTGCTGTGGTAATTGCCCAATAAGACAGACAAGCGAGGGGGCTGGGGATTTAGCTCAGCGGCATAAGCGCCTGCCTTGCAAGCAGGCAGTCATGAGTTTGATCCCTGGTACCGAAAAAGACCAAAAAAAAAAAAAAAAAGACAGACAAGCAAAAACATAGTAGTATTCCTTAAGAGAAGCAAAACTGCTAGGCAGTAGTTAGATTTTTGGACACAGTTTGAAACAAGCTCTTATTTTAATATTTTCCAAATAAACTAATTGTGAACTGTAACTAACCAAGTCTGCCATGTTCATTTTTTTTTTTTCTTATCCCAAACATGAGGTATACCAATGAATACAGTGTTTCTAGTATTTTGGTGTCTGCTATGAGTCCTAATTTTTTTGTTTCTTGCTCTCTTGTTTTCTCAATAGCATGAACAAGACCTTTTGTTTAACCTCTAAATAATCTGCTGTTATTGTAGTTTGGCAGACAACACAAATTAGAACTGAAGCAAGACGAAACCCGGCCACCTGTCTGCTGCTGCTCTCCCTGGCACAGGCTCACTTGGCCTTCATGTACTTAGTCATACACCAGTTTTTTACCAGGGACTGTGGGTGGTAGAAAGATGATCAAGGATCTCTTGATGGATCTCCCGCTAGTTTACTATGTGTGACCCAAAATGAGGTTGTGTAGTAGACATGAAATAGGTCTCTGAATGGAATTCATTAAGGGAAAGACCAGTTTCATGTCTAAGAAAGAGGATCAACATGATATGCAGAAAGGGCTGCTGAGGCTGGGACCAGAGGACAGGAAAGGATTTCCTGGAACTGAAAGAAAATGATGCAGAGGTTGGAAAATAACAAGGGGAAAATAAGAAGCTGTCTGGAGAGCATGGAGACCTAAAACATCAGCACTTGATTTAGGTACTCTGATTATGCAACTGCTTTATTGACTAAGGGAGATCGTACAAAATACCTGCACTGAGAAACAGAGCTTAGCATCTGTCATAACGATGTTCCTCAGATTACTCACTATCTTCCTAACATAAAAAAGGTAACTTGCTTTCTACTTCTGAGCTGTTAGCTGTTTTTATTGTCTGGACACTGAATTCTATCAGTAACCAATTTTCTTTATTAAATTTTGCTGCTAGATAGTTTAAGATTGTGCTTACCTATTACAGGAATAGAGGACTCCTATAATGTGTCCTTCTGTCCAAATTCTGGCTCCATAAGTTCCTCCTTTGTTCGCCACTCCTTCCCTTATACCCCTTCCCCTCCTTTTTTGCCCACGTGCTTGCTCTAGTGGGCAATATTTTATATACATCTACACAATCTGCTATAACTCCTTTCTGGAACAAAAGGGAGATGATGAAAGGAAGAATAGCTTTCTCAGGAGTTCACCTTTCCTGAGACCAAATGTACAAAAATAGCAATTGAAGTACAGAAGTAAGGAAAGGAAATGAACTACAGAAATGCCTAGCCCACGAGTTTATGACTTTAGTGACAATAATTTTGGGAAGTTTCCATGGCTCTGTGCAAATTGCTCCCTTTCCCAGGCCTTCTGTTCCTGTACCGTGGAAGACACCTGTACCTTTGGAGGTATTTTCTAAGCTCCTGACTCTGGATCTCACTAAGAGAGCTGGAGGTGTTTAACAGGGAACTGTGATTTTAGTCAGTACTTACTTAACCCCTATGCCTTCGGGAAGCATCCTAGAGCAAGCACTCTGAGCGGGCTGTTTCCTCCCTCCAGGGGCTCTATGACCCTTTCTTTTCCTTCTTACTCATGAGTAAAGGTTGTTCAGGAAAGAGGCTGCTTGACTCATCTTTCTCCTTTCATTCTGGTCATATCTCACCCAGGGCTGCCCTATCCCTGAGACAGAGAATCGTAGTCTAGAACAGTGATGACAAAACTTTTAGAGATGAGTCCCCAAACTGCAGACAAAGCTCATTGATTTATCATAAAGTTTGAACACTGCAATTAACCTGAATACTTAGGCTTTAGTTCAGAAAAAAAAAAAGCCTCATACATTAGCAACTTTTGTCTTAAAAATGAAACAACACGTGCATCACAGGTTTGCATCCCTAGTTGAGAGAATCTGCCTTACTTCTCTAAACCAGCTCCAGACACCTCCCCTCCCAGCATCTTCTGGATACTCCACTTACCTTTATCCTTCTGTATTTGATGACATCCAGAGTTAGGTGCTCAGAAAATAACTCCAAAGGAACAGATGTCTTCCACAGTGTAGGAACAGAGGGGCTGGGAAAAGGAACTCACTGGCCATCTTGGATAGTTAAGTTGAAAGTTCTCAAACCCATCAGCCTGTGTACATGGCACACACTGTGATCTGCTGACTTTTCTCTTTGCCAGATCACTTGTCTAACCCTAGACTTCAGTTATTTCCCCCTTGAGTTAGAGTAAGCACTGCCATGATGGCCCTGCCTCCAGTGGAGTCAAAACTCCCAAAGCCTTTGGGGCTTCCTTTCAGCAATGAAGTCAAATTGCTTTCTTTCTAACCTGCATCTGATTTGAGCTTTGAGACAAGTTCATTTCTACCAGGTTAGTGAACTTCCCATAAAAGTGAAAGGCTGCTGGTGAAAGGTTTTGTCTTTTCTCATGCTTGTCTTTCATTCCTGTTCTGCCATGGCCTTTGCTTCAGTGCTTAATCACCCCTCGGCCCTGATCCCCTCTTTTTTCCTTACAGTCTGATTTTACAGACTTCCTCTCCCATCTTGCTTTCTAGCTTTTGAGCTTTTAATGACATGATTTATGCTTCCTCAAAGGGTGAGTTTTTATTCTGTGGATTATGGTTTTTTGTTTTTGTTTTTTGCAGTGTGGTGAATTCAGCTTCTTCTATGATTAACATGTCCCAGGAAAATACAAGGAAAGCACCTTTGTTTCCAGCCAAGGTAGATTGAGTCTAAACTTCAAAAATCTGCTTTTTGGTGGTAATGTTATTTTTCTCGTTTTGTCAAAGCACTTTGTAATAAAGAGGATTTTGTAGTATTTTTTTTTTTTTTTTTTGCTACCAGATGCAGATAACTTTTACTATTTAGTGTAAGAAGTCACAGTTGTGGTGTATAAGATTAATGAATGCCATGTACATAACTGAAGACCCAAGTTTCTTGCTGTAGAAAGTAAAATCTGAAGCTATTTGGGGCTGCTTCTTTTAGGGGTATGGAATGTGACTCATTAGTTCTACTTCTGTCTTCTTTGTTATTCAGAGCTCCCTGCCTCTCTTTTAGAGGTCTGCTACTCTGAAGGCATTGACAGTTTATACAATTGTAGGCAATAAACGTAGATATTCAGTCTTGTACTCATAAAAATCTTCATTAGCACTAACTAACCATGAAGCAGGGCAGGGTAACTGAAGTATCTTCTAAGTAATTTGGAAAGATCAGTCATAATTGTGTTTTATACAGCTACAATCTAGCACAAAGAACATCTGATGTGATAGAAAAGCAAAGTAGAAATTTGACTTCCTTAAATACAATTTGCCCTGACCATAACCAGGTCTTCGACATACTCAAGGCCACATTTTCTCACCTATAAAATACGGAGTTTAGTTTTGAATGCTTGTTTTTGATCTAATTTTATAGGTCTCTGGCATTGAGTATACATTATGTAATTTTACTTATTTTTTGTTAGACATATATGTGGTGTGATTGAAGCTATCATGGTTAACTTTCAGAAATTTATTACTTTAAAAAAGACATATTTTCTGTCAGATTCCTCAAAATACTCCCCCTCACTTCAAACAGACTTACCCTATCTTTCTTGCTACTTTCTGAAGCAGTTCTGTTTTTTTTTTTTAAAGAGGGTAAAATAAAATGTAACAAAATAGGTCATAAGAAAACAATTTAAGAATCAACAGATTTCAAAACAAAGACCACCAGAGATCTTCGCTATCTATCATATTGTCTCTTGTTTTCTTCCAAATAGTTGTTCGCATCTTCACACATAGTACTAAACTGATCAGAACAGGATGATGAAGGCATTTTAGGTCTTCAAGACTAGACAATAGGGAAGTCAACAATGGCTACCATGTAAATGTCTTCATTTGTGCCAGGCTGTCTCAATGACCTGAATCAATGCAAAATGTTTACCTTTCACAGTCAGAGTCTTGACTTTGAGAAAGAGCTAGAAGTCACAAGGTACCAGATCTGATAAGTAAGGGGATTGAGGACACACCGTGATGTTTTTATGAGCTTGTCTTTCCTCAGATGACACTCAGCAACTGTAATCACACCTTGTAAAAACCTGAAAGAGGACATCAGAACTGCTTTAGAAAGATGCAAAAATAATGGGATAAATTTATTTGAAGTGTGGGAGAGTATTCTGAGGGGAATTAGTGGCACTGTGTCTGAAACAATTTTTAAAATTTAAACATTTCTTATATAATTTGATCATCCCTTGTATGGTGGTAATTCTGTGCTTTTAAAATCAATCAGGTTTTTTCAAACATGCCAGATTATAAAATTGATTGGGTAAAACTGTCATACATTGGTGGTAATAAACATTTGCTAACACTGAGTTGCTGTTATGACATTTTAACTAAGTTTAATAAACAATATTTTTCTCCAGCAAAGGAAGAATCCATTTAATAGCACTAAGTTGCCAGAAGACCACTTATTGCAACAAACCAAAAGTGAACAGTCAAAAAATGAAAGCACTGGTTTACTTCAGATTTCAAAAGAGGGTAAATATTATCTTTATGGGCTAGATATTTTTATCTTCATTATCTGTGGACTAGGGAAAATTCCTACAGATCTTTTAACATAAATAACTTCCCAAAGAAAGTGGAAAGTCCTAATGGTTTTCTCATCTTGCTTGTTCCTGTTGGTTTCTTCCCTGAGGGAGAAGAAAGAAATTTTTGTCACTGGCCCTTGTGTGTGACTTCATCAGTAGACTGGGAAATTTTTTGACCAAAAATAGTGAGTCTAATTAGACATAATGCAGTTTGCCTCAGATTGCTTCACTAGGTGTGGTGGTACATGCCTATAATCCCAGCACTTGGGAGGCTGGAACAGGAGGATTGCCATGAGTTTGAGGTCAGCCTGGACTACATAAGTGAATTCAAGGTCAGCCTCCTAAATAAATAAATCAGGCTGCCTCAAGACAAAAAGCCCACTTGACAATGTTATGATCTTCTAATCTATAATTATAGCTCAGAATTTTATTGTTCTTATATACCATTAAAGAAAATAATAGAAAATTTAGTCTCTTCCAAATCAATTGTAGGAAGATTCCACTTGCATTAAAGATTAGTCAAGGGGTAAAAAAATTTAACAATTGAATAGGTGTGTGTGTGTGTGTGTGTGTGTGTGTGTGTGTGTGTGTGTGTGGTGTGGTGGTACTGTGGTTGACTACTTAGGGCTTTCTCATTAAGCTATACTTCTAGACCTTTTTAAAAGTTATTTTATTTTGTTTAAATACAGTCTTGTTAAGTTGTTAGGCTACCCAGACCAGGCTCAGACTTTGAATCCTCTGGCCTCAGTCTCCCAGAGTGCTGGGATTATAGGTGTGTACTCCATACCTGATCAACTAACTTGTTTAATTTGTTTTTCATTGGGCAAAAAATTTTTGTATTGATTATAAATTCCACAAAGTATATAATTATGGTACTCTTAACTGTGCAGTCCATCTGCAGTACAATGAAATTCGTAATCAATTTTTAGTAGACTTTATTTTTTAGAAAGTTGGTTCACAACATTATTGAGCCAAAGGTTTACATGTTACCCCTATATACCTTATTCCCTTACATGCATGGTCACCTTATTGTTAATATCTCCCACCAGCTCGATGTGTTTGTTATAACTGATTAACTACTTTGAGATGTCATTACCACTTGAAATTGATAGTTTACAACAGGAGTCACTGATAGCATTGTATATTCTAGACTTATAAGTATTTTAAATTGCAGAGTTGCTTTCTGTTTGATATATTGCCTGATATGTTTTAATTTCCAGGTGAATTGTCAGAGTCAAAAGAAAAGTCATCTATCCAAGATACATCAAGCCAGAGCTTAGAAGAATCAAAACAGACTGTGCCAGTGGATCCTGCAAATGTGTCCCAAATCAAAGCTCCAATCCCCAAATCCAGAAAATTCATTTACAAATCGAATGATTTAAAGCAAGATGATAACCAGTCTTTTCTTAGACGAAGGACAGATTCCCTGAATGCAAGAGGGACTCCAAGAGGAATTCTCAAGCGCAACTCCAGTTCCAGTAGCACAGACTCTGAGACTCTTCGTTTAAATCACAACTTTGAACCCAAAAGCAAAATTGTGTCACCTGGCATTACCATCCATGAGAGAATTTCTGAGAAGGAACATTCTTTAGAAGATGACCCTTCCCCAAATTCTCTGGAGCCATCGAAGCATGTGAGGTTCTCTGCAATGAAGGACGAACTTCCACAGAGTCCTGGGCTAATCCGTGGTCGGGAAGTGGGAGAATTTAGTGTTTTAGAACCTGACGGGTTGAATAATGGAACAGAAGATTCAGGAGACATAGATGAGCTTCAGGATGACCCGAAGCCCTCCCAGTATGAAAAGCCTCTACCCTTTCGTCAGTCAGCCTCAAGCCCAAGTGCATCAGAAAATGAAACATATCACCCAGTGACATCTAGTTCTGTTCCAAATGATGGGCTCCAGTCTTGTTCGGAAGTTCTAAAGGAGGAACCACAGTCCACTGAGAATTCACCCACAATCAGTGAACACCAAATTAAATCATCAGAATTAACAAGACTTGAACCAGAATTGTCCCAAAACCCTGCTGGTAAGAAAGTCGTCACTACCAGATTATAAAAGCTGGCTCAGTGGGTTTGGAGTGGCCAGGTCAGCCAGCCCTCTAAAGGGTCAATTTTACTTTGTAAGCATTTTGTCTAGAATTCAGACAGATGCCACTGGAAAATTTATATGCCTCTTACTAGATTTAGAGGCTTTTTTCAACCACCAATGTTACTGAAATAACCAGTATAGTACAGTGTCTAGCCCGTTATGTTTTAACTGTTAAAAAAATCCATATCAATTATTTAAACAAGTGAGAATGTTTTGCATTAAACCAAGGTGTGTTAAAGAAATGCTAATACTTCCTCACTGAGTAAATATGCTATTACTCACTTAATGTAAATTTGTTGCCATTTTACCAAAGTTTGATCTCTCTTATAATTGCAAGAGAGACGTCACTTTCTTAGCCTCAAAGGATAAGAAACTAGACTTTGAGTATGTAATATGAAGAAGCCTCTGCTTTTGGCCTGTGCATGGTCTGGAGATGTTTGTTCTTGACTCCAGACATGCTGGGTAAGAAGCAGCAAAGGTGCTGCTTTTCCTGCTAACAGGTCCTCCAGTGAAGATCTCACCACTCTCAGTGGCTGTCTCAAACTACCCCTCATATCTGTATGGTTACTTTAAATTCTTAAGTTTTTTAAAAAGAGAAAGGATGGGGGAAATGATGTTGTGCATTTTCTCCCACCTCCAATAAGTCTACATCTAATTTTTTACAATCAGGAACACTTATAATCCTAGCAATCAAGTCTCTACCTCTGTTGCCCAAATGAATGACATCTGCTCAGCTCTACAGTTTCACACATGTTCAGGTCAGTCCTCTTCTTAAAAGACAGTTGCTTTTCCTCCTTGGATGTTTTAGATCATTTGAATGAAACATAACTTTTTTTAAAAATCAAAAAATTAGCCAACACTTCTTTAAAAAAGAAAAAAATAGGAATACTGCCAGGCATGTTTGCTCATACTCATAACCCTAGCTACTCAGAAGGCTGAGGCAAGAAGATCAAAAAGTTGAAGTCTGCTTGGTCAACTTAATGAGATTGTTTCAAAATAAAAATTGACAAAGGTGGTAGGGTACAGTTCAATAGAAAGCATCCCTGGATTCCATCCTAGTAGCATACGCACACAAAAGGGGTAACTCATAATAAAGGAAATTATTAACATTTGATGGAACATTATGAAGTAATTGTATGGTGGTTACCTAAATATTCATTCAATGGATGAAAATACTTCTGTAATAGTAATTTTTTATTGTAATTGACTGAAAAGAATCATGCCCTATTTTTGAACTCATACTTTCTCCTAGACTACAATTTTGTATATACTTTGCCTTCTAATTTTTAAGCCCAAACTGACCATTAAATGTGGGAACAAAACATCAATAGCTAAACTATTTTGACTCCCTGTTACCCCTTCTGAACAAAAGGATTTCTTACAAAGTTAGGCCCTGTATTCTCCTTGATTTACTGCAAAGATTTATACAAGTAAGTGCTAGTACATGAGACAAAACTAGGATAAAATGTTGAGCTCTATGTCTGTGAATCATAAAAGTTTGGATTTAGCTTTGAACATTAAGACAGTCAGTATCACACTGTTTTTTCCACTGGGAAAAAATTCCTCAGAGGAAACAAAACATTATCGGACTCTGAATTTTTAAAATAACTGTTCCTATTTTTAAGTAATAGCTTTTTACTGTAAAATGTTTAAGAATGTGCACAGAATTTTTAAAAAGCTCATCTGTGATGTCATTATCCGGCATTAACTAGTGCAAATATTTTATTGTGGAGCCTTCCAGAACATTTTAGGCATGCCTATAATTTATAAATCATTACTATACTTCTAAGATTTTTTAACTAGCAATATATCACAGATTTTCTAAAAAATCATCAAATAGTCTGTAAACAGAATTCTTGAAAATTTCTCAAAAGAACTTCACAAATATTGACATATATTTAATAATTCAGTGTATAGTTAGAGAAGGAAACCAATATCTCTAGGTGCCAAATGTACAAACTCTTTGTAATTTATATATTTAACCAGAACTGATAGTCGAAATTAAAGATAGAATTTTGTTAACTAGTATGTCTTTTAGTGCATTTAGAATCATAAAATTCAACTCACACATTTCTTTGTTTTGTTTTCTTGAGTTTTTAGACAGGATCTGGCTATGTAGTTTAGGCAGGCGTCAAACTCACAGCAATCCTCCTGCCTCAGGCTCCCACCATGCCCAGCTTCACACAGCTTTTAAGGAACATCCCTCTATATGCATTGTGTTGCTTATCACTTTAAGGATGAAGATAAATGCTGAAACATTTGAACTATAACTAAATGCCTAATGAGACTTAGCAAAATATCTAAATTCCCACATCAAAATGTGCTAGGTAGCTTGTGATAAAGACTTAGGGAAAACTCTGCTTTTTGATAGGTAAGAAACAATGTAAATATTCTTCTCTAGCCTCTTAGCCTTTAGCTAGCTGATATTATGGGGGAGATAGAAATCATTCTTTGTCAGTCCTCATTTTATTTGGCTCCTAGAAGTAACTTCTGACTTACAAATGATAGATAGGAAAAGGGCATAATGAAGGAACCTATTGAGATCAGGATTCCTAAACTCCAGTATGTAAAACAGTTACTAAAACATCAAATCTGTCTTCAGAGATTCTGGTTAAGTATATCAGGGATTAAAGCCCAGGAAGCAAATGTTCTCATTCAGATATTCTGGAATGAATTCCTTGTTTAGTCTTACTTGATAGTTGGTTTTCTAATTCTTGAAATCACTTAAATCTGTGCTCCTCAAAATTAGATACAAGACCCTTCTCGGGTTTATAACAGTGTGTCAGAGGATTAATTAAGTCATAAAAAGTCAGCATGGTGTACCTTCCTGCATGTCGGTTCTATACAAAGATTTGATAGTAAGAGAAAATTAATATTTAAAAAGTGACATGGAACAGAATGTAAAATGCACATGAATTTTTAAAATAAATCAAGGACTTTAAAGAAATTTTCCAGGTAGGTTTACATACTGTAGTTTGAGAGGTCTACATTTGCCCTCCTTTATTGTCATAGGGCACCTTTGGTAGAACACCTTAATTAGAATGTCTAACCCCTAAGAGATGTATGAAGTGCAAATAAAAAATACTTTTTCAAAAGGTGATATGAGTGACTAAATTATAGTCTTTAAGCATTCTCTTTTCTTATTTAAAAGAGCATCTCTATGTTACAGATGAACTGTCTCATTGTGTTGAGCCTGAGCCATCTCAGGTGTCAGACTGCAGTTCTAGAGACCATCAGCAAGGTAAGCCCCCTCTTCTCAACACTCTAAAAGTTGAGACATCCTCATGTTCTCGTTCATATGCCTCTGAGCTAAGGAAGACAACTGATGATTCCATATCTAAAGTCCTAGACTGGTTTAACCGAAGTTCTTATTCAGATGACAGGAAATCATCCCTCCAACATCCCCAAGGCATATTACCCAAAGGAAGGATAGACTCAAAATCACAAGTTCCTATTGCCTTTGTGACAGATGGTACAAGTTTAAAAGAAAATGGCTCAAAAGCCCTGTCACCTACTAAAGTTGAATTGAAGCCTGTAAGATCTGATTCAACATTTCAAGTAGAAAAAGAGAAGCTGCTTTTTGAAGAATGCCAAGATAATGATGTGAATATTAAGTCCAAATATGTGAATTTGTCCCAAGAAGATACCTCAAAAGAGGATCTGAATATACTGCAACCACTTGAAAGCTGTGCTGTATTAAGTCAAGGGAATAAAAATATGGACTGTTGTCAAAGTTCAAAAAATATAGGAAAAGGAGATGAGGTACCTCCCTCAACCAGTTACTCCTCCAGTGTTCTTAAAGGCTATGGTGCAGAAGAACAAGTTACATATAACACTAAGAATATCGGCAGTTTCAATAGAGAAGAACCCAAGCTTCATGATAATGAAAAACATAAAACAAACTCAGAAGTCAATTTTCACTCTTCAACAATTGTCCAAGAATTAAATTTGAAGGACAACACGCAAGCAGAGAGAAAGAGCAAAGAGGGAAATACTTCTATCCTGGAAGCTTCCTTAGAGACAGAGAATAGTGAGCTACCACCTTGGGCTGCCAACAAAGGATCTCTTTGGAAGAAGCCTGAAGTCCAACCACAGAAGGAAGCTGGTGAGCTTCCAAAGAACCAAGTACAAAGAGAAAAATACAAAAGAGTAAGGGAAAGAATATCATTTTGGGAAGGAGAGAGAGCAGTTGCTACTAAGTTAAGTCATAAAGAACCCACATCTTCATGTATCCAGGAACAGCCTCCTGCTAAAGCGTTGCAGCCTATACAGGCACAGGGTGTATACATGGACAGTTTATCTACAGACCAGAGTGAATATACTCAAGTCACTGCCAAACTAGTAGTCCTTGATGAAGATACTCAAGCATTTCATCTCTCCAGCTGTTACTCCTCAAATAAACCTGAAGAGACCAGCCCCCTAATATCTGGTCCATCCAAAAACTGCCCTTCAGCTAACCAGTCAGATAAAGTGTCTCTGTTTCATAATGAGAGAAATGGACATAGGAAAAGATTGCCAGTGGAAGACAGTTTGCACTCTAGAAGAGATACTACTTTACAAGTACTGCAACATCCGTCAAATACTGACAATGGAATACGTACTTCTGTGGAGAAAGACAGATTTCTAACTGGTGAATCAAGTGCCAACTTTAAAGTTATGTCCCTAAAAGAAAGAATGGATGAACACAATACAGAACAGATCTATAATCAGTCTCAGTTTGAGAATTTGAAAAAATTTTGGGCCTCAGGAACTAATTTAAACAATTCAAACAATAAGGATAATTATGAGATGACAACTACAAGCCAGAAAAATTCTGTGGCTTTTAATAGCCAGAAACACAAGAAATTAAGTGACAATAAATCATCAGGTAAAAATATCCATGAAACAGAGGCACTTTTTAGCCAAAGAAACATTACGGCAGGAGGAGAAATGGAAAAAGTCCACTCAAAGAGCATATTCCAGGGGCTACCAGATGAAATCACATTTCCTTTAAAATCACCCAGAAAGTCCACTCACCAACTGACCGGAAATGACTCATCAAAGGAAAATGGGGAAAAGAATATGGAATGGTTTGTTACTCCAGTACCTAAGGAAGAAAATGATTGCTCCAATCAAGAGATTCAAGAATCCATAGTGAAAACAAGTGTCCTGTCTAAAGACTACAAAGTTACTTTTAATGACAGCTTACAAAAGCTGCCTTCAAAAGTTTCATTACCAGTAAATCAACCTTCTGGTGGAAAAGTTTGTGGAAAGCAGCTACTTAAACCAGGTGTTTCTGAAGATGGGAAATGGCTTCAAAAGACAGATTTGGCTGACAATAAACAAGAATCCAAAGGATTTATGGAGATTCCTAGTGAGCATGGAGACAACATGATAGAACCACGTCTAGACAAACTCTTTAAAGAAGCTATTGGAACCTCACACTCTCCCTTGCAAACTGAGATGAAACCTGGTACCACCAGGACCAGCTCCCAACTTAAAGAGGGTAGATTTTTTGAAAAGGAGATAAAAGAAAATCATAATACTTCATTCTATCAGAGCGAAATATTACCTCCTTTTCCAAAGGGGGATGAAACTTCGGGAAATGTAGCTGTCACCCAGAAAGCTGGAAGTGATGAGTTCCAGCTCAACAAAGAAAACTTGTTTCCGACGACTGCAGAGCTTTCTCCTGCACTGGCACAGCCTTCACATCTTCACAGAAAAGGTTCGTTTGAGGATGTGGCCAGCTGTCCACAACATATGTCTTTTTCTGGGGATGCTCATCTTGCTCACCAAGAAAAGGCATTATCTTCTCAAAGAGAAATTTCAGAGACCATAGAGAGAGTCATTCTTCCACCCAGACCTGCACTGAGTGATGTAAATGACGCATTACAGAGGCTACTTAGAGAAGTTTCCTTGAGTTATCCATCTGGGACAGAAGTAGGTCCTGGAGAAATAAAACCAAATTTTTCTCAAGGAGTACAAACAGTAAGTAATTGCTCAAATCCTCTGACAGTGATCCTACCAGCGGCTGCAATGGATACCATTGTTCCAGACAGGAAGGATTTTTATACTTTCACTGTATTTCCTGATAAAGCTCATGAAATTAGGTCATGTGTAGCTCTCCAAAAGTCTCCATCAGAACAGCTCACTAACTCATCTATTTCTGCCATGCCTCAGTGTGGCAAAGAGCAACCTCAGGAAGTAGCAGAAACTGTGACGGAAACAATTACTCAGCCCAAATCAGAATTCCTTGAATTCAGTACTCACTTAGAGAAACTACTCAAGGAAACACTACAAACCTCCTTATCAAACTATGAAAAAGATACAGGAACCCTTTCTCCATCAGAGTTTATAGGGAGTACTGAGGCACCCAAGCAAGCTGCTTCTGAATTCCATTCTCAGGAAATACAAGAAATAATAGAAAAGGCTGAGGCTCTGTCAGCAACTGAGAGTGCTTTGGATACTGGATTTGAGAAACTTCTTAAAGAAATATCTGAGGTTCCTCTTTCTCAGATCCAGGTGTCAGTGAAGGAGGAAACTCTTGAAAAGGAGCCCTCCGAATCAGAGCAGCAGGCCAGGTTCTTGGACACAAGGCCCCATTTTTACTGGGCAACCTCAAAGGGCTTGGAAATGAAGGGTGAAAGTGATTTGAAATCTCAGGTCAACCAGTGTGGTAAAGTGTTGGAAGAAGATGAAGCTGTGACTGATTTGTCAGTAAATCTTTGTGATTTTTCAAGTAGTAGAATTCAGATCTCTGGAACCCCACAACTTTATGTGGATCATGAAATAGAGACCACTAAATGTATACAACCTCCAGAGGACATGGACAGTGAAAGAGACAGCGGAGTGGGACAAAGGGATTTTCAGAAACCTGGCTTTGAAGAGGTTCCTAAAGCAATTAATGTTTCCAGAAGTAAGCAACCCACCCTTCCCCTGACAAATAAAAAAGACTCTACAAAAATAAGCAAAGTTGAATTGTTGCTAACGTCATCATATAATAGACAACACAAAGAGCAAGAAAAACAAGGTTTTTCTGATTCTGATTTTTCAGATGGAAACACTGGTTCTCATGCAGAAAGTTGGAGAAATACCTCCAGTGAGTGTTTTCAAATTTTTAACCCATGAGTCTGCTCTATGGAATGCTGATATAGAGGATGATTTTTTTTCTGAGATTAATTTGATACTATCAAATGGTGCTAAATTCTTTTTGTCACTCCATTTCTCCCATACTTTTATAATAACAAAATACATTTATGTTCTATATTCAAATGATTCCATAGAAACAGCTTTCTTAAAGGCTTTCTTCTAGTCTATCCTTGTTTTTTATTGATTTTAAAACTTTTACACAAAAATAAATTAAAATAATTTTTGAGGTTACAAAACATCTTTGAAAAATTTAAGTTAGTTTTCCTCCTGAAGGTAATTAGAATTTCTTAATTGGCAATCGAGATAGAAGTCTCTAGTAAGAGATGTGCCCAGAAAGTACCACAAATGGGCATAAATTTCCCATTTAAGAGCAGTGTTTTACCAAAGCTGTGGCTAAATATCAGGGGCAAAATGTAGGGGTTGAGCTTTCCTTCCATTTTATACTTTGTGCTGTAGTATTTTTGTTGACGTGCTCCCCTCATTTTCAGTTATCTCTACAGTCTCTGCCTTCTAGATCAGGACTTTGGTCAGATGACATCATGTGATTCCACCTAAATGTGTTGCCTGGCTGCTGCATTTCTTTGGCTTAAGCCTTGACTAAACTGTATAAAGATTTTACTCAAATGCTACATTTGTCTACCTGGATATGGGGTACTGGTTTCAGCCAACCTATAGGGCTTTTTATTCTGATCAGCTCTTGGTGTTTTAACAGAGAACCTCCAGAGTACATTGTCATGAGAGGTTACCTGATTTAAGTGATAAAATAATAGATGATGCTCTCTGGCTGAAACATTTTAACCAAAGTTGAAAAACCACAGTTGCACAACTCATAAAATACAATCTAATCTCGATGAAACTAGATAAGTTTTACTGGATTGCTGACTCATGATACTTGAGTTCCTTTATAAGTAGCTTGAGTACTGACTTAGGAATCTACCTTTAATCCTAATTAGTCAAGCTGAAGTTATTTTAATAAATGTTGCTGGTAAAAAAAAAAAAAAAAGAAATGCGTTTCTAAAACATGTAAGAATAAAGCCCGCACATTAACCTTATTGAGGTATTCCCTTACTAAACTACCCTGTGCATTACTACATAAACTGACCCATAGGACATTTGCAAATTTGCGTTTTCTTTAAACAATGTTGCCTCATTTAGGTGACACTATAGGCATGCTTATAGTGTACTAGCACCACTGATTGAACAACAAAAGCTTACCTTTAAAAAGTAGTTAAATAATCACCTAGACAGTGTTGAGAAAAGACATTTTAAAATGATAGGTCAACTAAGAGGTATAAAATGTTGCAGTCATTGTTTTATATCCCCATCCAGAATTATTCATTTAAAAAAAACTGGCAAGGGTAGTATAGAACTGCCAAGGAACCACCAATGGTATGCTAATTATGATGAATAACCTTACATTTATGACTATGGCTGAGCTCTAAACCAACTAACACCTCATTATCTTCTTTTGAAGGAAATAAATGTCTATGGTCAAATACTTTTGGAAATGATGGGATATTATGTCCATTATTGTTTTAGCATGTTAAACTCTGAGGTCTGTAATAATTATCCTCTTAAATTTGAACAAAAAACACCCTAAATTTAATTTATCTTAGAATCAATTTGATATAAAGTATATATTAATGTTAGGCAAAATTAAAAGCATTTCAAGAAATTATTGTTGAAAGAAGTGGTTCTTAAATTCATTCATTCATTCACTGAATCATTCATTGATTCAGCAAATATTTTTGAAATGTCTATTTGAAATCACTATTCTAAGTACCAAGAATAAACAATAATAAGTGTCAATATTCATTGGGCCTATTCATGATGAAGTTCTCACTGACAAAATGAAAAACTTGACAATTTAGAGAATTTTTCTATAAAGTTTAAGGATTTTTCTTATTTCTCTTAGTTCTAAATTGTGTTTTCCTTCTTTCTTTCTTTCTTTTTTTTTTTTTTTTTTTTTTTTTTTTTTTGGTACTGGAGATCAAACTCATGACCTAGCGCTTGCAGGGCTGGTGCTTATACTGCTAAGCTAAATCCCCAACCCCTAAAAACGTCTTTTTTAAAAAATAAGATAAAGTTATTACTGCATGATAAGATCTCCCTGTCACTTTTAAAGTCCTTTAGTTAAATAAAATTTAACTATTTTTTTGGAAAATTTTACTAAATCGTGCAATCCAAAAAGAATATATGTACTGATCTGGAGAGACTTCTGTGATCATCCATCTGTGATCCATTTGTACACAGATGTTAAACAGCTGAATCCTGCCTTCCATAGTCTTCAACTAATTTTGAAAATGTTTTGAAATCACTTAGTGGCTTCTTCAAAAGATAGACTGTTAAGGGGGAACATTCAAATTCTGACACAAAATAAATCATAAGCCTAAAATAGAGATGTAAACCACTAGATCATGTTTTCATTAATGTGGTAATCTTGTGTCTGTAATAGTTTATGTCCACAACTATTTCTTAACCAGGTAAATTGTTTTTTAAAGGGCATATTAAAAGTCTGTAGATGTAACTCAGTAGTAGAACATTCACCTAACATACTCAAGGCCCTGGACTTGATCGCAAACAACAAAATAACATTAAAAGGACATGGTAATAGTGGAGAAATTTTACTTTCTTTTGTGAAGTACTACTTAAAACAATCAAAATTAGGGAGGCTGTGGCATAATTTCTCTTTTCAACCTACCATCTTAGGGTTCAATGGTTATTAAAAGATTGTCTTTTTTCCTTTGTATTGTGCAGTGTTCATCGGTTTTGTCTTGTAACAGGTTCAGAAGAAGAACCCAATCCCGTTTTGAAACCTTTGGGAAGGAGTGCTGCTAGAAAAATGCCTTCCAAAAGTCTAGAAGACATTTCATCAGATTCCTCAAGTGAGAATAAAGTCTGCCCCACTGTTTATGTCTCACCTAAGCTTAGAAATGTTTGTGTGCTGTTCCCTGGCCTCACTGCATGTGGCCATGCACTGAAACCCCTAATATGAGGGTTCACAGCAAAAATCTTTCCCAAGTGTGCTGAAGAGGCTTACCCCCAAGCATTCTGGAATTTTGCTTTTAAATTAATGTGTGAGGTTTGCTTACTAGAATAGTAGGTTTCCCTGAAACAAAGCACTGATGTTTGAGTGTTTACTCAAGTGTAATGAGTTTTAAAGGACAGTGGTGGCTAGTAATATTAGTAGAACTAATAGTCATAGGTAATACTTATTGAATACTGTAAAGCAAAATTTGTCTAAGAATTTTATGTTTTGTCTCATTTAGTACATGCACGCACACACACACCCCAACCCTGTGAGAGAAGAATTGTTATCCTTATTTTATAGAAAGAAAATGCTCAGAGAGGTATAATAACTTACTTACATAACACAGCAGACCTGAGACTCAAATTGACAACTATCAACAGCATTTATGAATTTACCACATTATAATATAATAGTGTTATATGTCCAATGAATTTTATGATATAATGTTGAATTATTATCTGGCTTCAGGGATTTTCCTTTTCTCTTTTATTCCTTCTTTTCCATTCACATGTTTCTTTTGGATATTAGGATTATAAGCTCAAAAATTACCTAACACACAATCCTTTAGGTACCTTGTTCCTTACTGGGTGCTCCTTTAAATTAGTGAAGGATTTCTTGACTAGTAATAGAAAACACAATGTATTTAGGGACTTGTGTATCAGACAAATGGATTTAGAAGCCATAACTTTTAGGAGTTTTTGTCTTACTATTTTGAAGCTAAAATAAACCTCTGAGATTTCAGTGCCATGAGAAAAACTGAGTAAAAACCAATGCCAAGCTCATGATTGAAAACTGATCATTTTCAGGTTTAAAATAGTTTTTAGGCATCTGCATTGAAAATAAAAATTTAGAGTGTAAAAAGAAAAAGTAAAAGTCCTTTAATCTAACAGTTTCAGAAACTGACAGGTTTCCAGGGTTCTGAAGACAATATTCCCAATTTTAAGGGCAGTCTTAACCTTCCCAAAGAACTTCAAATCTTAGAGTTGGAGGGATCTTGAAGGTCACCCATTTCAACCTTTCCCCAGTGCAGGAATTTTCTCTAAAGCCTCCTCAACAGGTGGCCTGCCCCACATCTGCCAGAATGCCTCCCAGAGAAGGCAGGTCTAGTTCTTTGTTGGACAGCCCCAATTGTTCTTCCTTAAGTTGGTGATGGGCCTGAGGAGAAAAAAAACCCTCAACAACAATTGTTTGATTTAGCAAACTCCTTGCTTGTGAAGCACAGAGCTTTTTCCATGGTGCAGCTTTAAAGTATTCAGGAATGTGTAGGGTTAAAAAAAAATCACTATCCGCTGACGGGTATTCCTGCACGCTCCCTTCCAAATACCAATACCCACTCTCACACTAGCCTGCCAAAATTCCACTTAGCAGCTGGTCCCCAGTTACATCTCTTCAGTTGACTTCCCATGCAAGCCTCCAGAGGCATACGCAATCGATGATGCACTCACACAAATATCTGTTAATGACCATAGGTTTGGGAAGGTGTTAGTCATGCCGAGTATCGTACCCTTTCAGAAGAATAGAGAGGCTGTTTGCAGCCTTGTGCTTTGCCAGCCGATTGCTTGCTCTGAGCTAACCCTCTAACCCTTGGGAGTCAGTGTGCAGCAGTGTGCTGATGTAAGCTGCATCAGGGCTGAAATGGGAGCTCCTGCTATGGCACTCGTTCAAGTAGCTAATCTAAAGAGAAAGTATTTTGGGGAAGACATCTTGGTCGCACCCCTCACTGCATCTTGACTAATTGCTTCCAACTCCGGGAGCTCCCAGAGACAGTCTCATTGTTCTTTTCTCTTCATGGGTCAGCCATGTTAACCATTTGTTAATTTCTCCTGAACAGATCAAGCAAAAGTAGATACTCTGCCAGAAGAATTAGTACGTAGTGCTGAAGATGGTAAATATCTTTATGTATTTGCATGTCTGTTTGTGTATTAAGTTCTGGCTGGGGTGATTTGAGCAGTCACCGGGATGCAGCTGTCAGATGAATAGAAGAACGTCATTTGGCACTATGGGGCAAATAGTGCCTAAGTTGTTATAAAAACTGTTCTGACTTGGTGCATTAAATAGTGTGTGTTTTTAAGGCTTCTGGTGATACCATTGTGAGGATCTCATTAGAGACCCTGGGGAAGGATTTCTATAAATAGGAAATTGTATTTCTATGGGTATGAGCTGATTTTCACTACTCTGACTTGCAGAACTCCTTTTGAAGGAAGATTGGAGGGGTTCCTGGGTTAAGTTATTTCTGTGTTTGATTCTCAAGTCTCAGCATTTAGATCACCGGGCACAACCAGTAAAGCCTTAAAAAGAGAAAAGTCCTAAGAGAAGAATGGGAGAATTCTGCCTCTGTTTATATAAATAACTTAGACTGAGAGTAAAATTAATAGATTCTGAGTGTAAGGAGCCAAAAGATTTTCAAGATTGTCAACAGATCATGTATTACTTGGTTCATTTTTTTAAATGAATAGGGTAATAGTGCATTGGTGGGGTGAGGGATGGAAGATTGTTCAATTGTTAGACCTAAGGATTTATGTAAATGAATAATGTATACTTATATGCTATTTTTTATTTTTCTAAATTGCTTTCACAGTAATCGTAAAAATGTTGTTCATTGAGTTTTTCTATACAAAGTGTCATGACAGAGCCCTTTAAAAGTCTTTACTTTTATATAATAGTGTTGTCTTTCTCATTTTATAACACCCTCACTGAGGTAGGAGGGGCAAGATTTTCATCATTTTGCCAATAAGAAAAGTTCAGAGAAATTTGATGATTTTGTAAAATCTTATGACTAGTCAGTTAGTGAGAGTGCATGGAAAAGAATCTCAGCTTCGTGTTCAATTTCAGTGTTATGTTAGTACATGAAAGGACAGAGGTTGCACATCTCCTGTGATCTTAGTTTTTAGTTGAACAGGAGACGTTAAGAAGGCTAATGAAGAGTCACACTGGGATATGGATGAAAGCAAACTGAAAATCTGTCAGACATATTCTGCAGTTTCAGTTGTAAAATTGACATTTGAGTTTACTTTCATGTCTGTTTAATCCTTCTGTTAAAATGGTATTTATTCTCAATGTTACTCTTCTGAGTAGATCAAAGAGCAGATCAGGAACCAGATACAAATGAATGCATACCAGGAAGTGAGTAGCAGGATTTTTCTCAAAATGACTAAATGTTCTATTTGCATAGTGTTAAATATACTGAAAGAACTAACCCATTAATAATGCAGCACTTATTATTGCTAAACTTCTGCAGCCTGCAAAACTATCTCATTCTGATTACGGTTTATTTAAAAAATTGATATTGCCTATGTAAAAAACTTCATGGTTCTACCAAGGGACAGTTAAATATTTAAAATACGTATTATATTGCCATTACTGAGTATTATTGAGTTTTGTCAGTCTCTGCTCTTTATGTCTGCTTAAAATTAAGTTGGCATCTTCTGATTTCATTAGGCTTTTATGTTGTAGTATGGCCTTAAGCATTAGATCTCTTGTACAGGCTTGTTGCCCTGAAGCAATTTACAATATTCAATTTACTTGGACCCAAAGAAGAACATATTTCAGTAGTCAAATGTAATATGGTTGTATTTGTCTCCCTATACACCTATGAAAGCAAATTTTATGTCTGAGGTTTATCCTATGAGATTTAAAGCTGGATTTCAGCAGCAAATATTCAATATAAAAGACAAGCGAGCATCTGAATCTAAGAAATAAATGTATACCTGTGATGACTAATGTCCATCAACTAATTAATGTCCACCACCACACAAAGATATTTATTCCCTCTTTTCTGTTCAATCTTAAGATTATTCTACTTAGCCATGACTGCTGTTTTAAAGAAAAATGTTTACAATGTTTGGGAGGCCCAGTAAAGCATACAAACATGTATGTGATTTCTCAGCTCCCCAGTTTCAGTGGTTTTCATAAACCTATGGTATGAAGGCAGTGATATATGTGTCTTGCCTGCCCTCAGTTCCACAGTATTTTTAATAGTCATTCCCTGCCAGCCTTTGGATATGCTAATAGGCCTTAAAGGGGTAAGCAGCTAAACGAAGGAGTCATTAGATAAACGATGTGCTGATGCAAGAAGTCAGTGACATCTAGTGTGAAATCTGAGACTTTGCTCATGAGTTCTTCCTGCTAGCCGGTGAAGGTGCTGAGCTTTGGCACATGACTTGACAAATTCTTAAGAGCTGCCTAGGAAAGAAGACACTTCAAGTCTGGCCCATGTAAATATCACTAATGCAGGCAATATAAGACTTCTGCTTCTAAGAAGCATTAAACAGACTTTTGCAGTTGCTTTTGAACTGGGATGTGCTCAAGTCTGAGCATCTGACTTTCTCTTGCCATGTTTTATTCAACATTTAGCCTGAGGAGTGAAAGAAAATCTTATATAACATGTGCCTATATAGCTATATCTTTATTCATGGATTTGTAATTGGCTTAGACAGTTATTGATCAAGACCAGTAGACCAATTACATGCCAAACTCAGTAAATTAATTTCTCTTTTTAATGTTTTCCAAAAATGATTCTTAGTGACTTTTCACCAATAAAGACTATATTCTTACCATAACACAAAATCAAAATCATGATCCAAATATAACTTAAGCTCATAAATATAAAACTGACTACATTTGAATAGTGGGTATAGCTGAATTTGACTTGTATGCCATCATCCAACAATATACTTGGAAAATAATATGTTGGGGCTGGGGATTTAGCTCAGCGGCATAAGCGCCTGCCTTGCAAGCAGGCAGTCATGAGTTCGATCCCTGGTACCGATAAAAATGAAAAAAAAAAAGGACAAGAAAATAATATGTTGTAGCAAAAATTTTTATACTATGGACTACACTATGTGACATAATCTTACACTATTACCCAATATAGCTCACCCCAATACACACCCACATGCACACATCTGTTTACTGGAAAGTAATGAATTAAAGTAGGTATGTTAATAAGACTGTATAAGTGGATTTTGGAGTATACTTAAGTATGTGATGATAGATCCTGTGCATGTGAACTACAGTGCCTTTAACCTTTTTATAAAAACATGTCTGTTCATACATGAAAGAAAAGTGTGTTTTTAGTTTCTTTCTAGTGCCTAAAAATTGTCTTTACTGTGTGTAGGTCAAATTTCAGGGTTTTTTTCCCATTAGATTTCTTTCAATTAAAGTGAACTTAGGTAATACAATGGCCAACCTTGAGTCTTTTATGTTACACAAAGAACTATAACTTGATTTTTATCTATTTTCCTAATATCTTTTTAAGATAAAGTCAAGTTAATATATGTATATTGTGTTCAGAGTATAATCTAAAGAATTTCCATGTAATAAAATTTAATTAATTGATTAATTAAAAATACTCACACAAAGCCTACTACATGTCAGGTACTTTTGTAACTATTTTAAGAAATTCTAACTCTTTCACTATAAGAGCTATGATTCAACATCAGAAAAACTTAGGCATTTTGATTAGTAGGCAAAGAAAAACAGTTTTCTAACTAGAGATAGGCAAATGAAAATTATAATTCATCTTTTTATTATGTCTTCATTTACTATATCAGAAATAAGATACTATATGTGCTATATTTTTCATATTAAATTCTTAAATTATTATATCTTGAACCATTTAAACTTGACCTTGGGAGATTGAAAACTCTCTTTTAAAAAAGATACCTAAGTGTTAAATTTTTAAATAATATTCTTTCACCATTCTGAGTGGGAAACACTACAAGAAAAGGGATTCTCATGATCACTAAATGAATCAACCTGCTATTTCACACTCAGTAGTCAAGGGTACTTTTATTGAATTGTGTGCCAAGATCCTTAGTATCCAGATGAAATAGTTTTTCAGCTTGCAGCATTTTAAAAATACATCTCAAGGAGTTGAACCAATAAATATAGAAGTTGGCCTTAAAAACTCTAATGTGAAAAAAGTAAAACCAGTTCATAAAGAGACTCTTAATGTAATTAAGTCCAGCTGTAATCAGTAGAACTAGTATTTTTTAAATTAATTTTTATTTGGTTCAACTCCTTGCTAGCTCTCTCTATATGTAATTTATAAGATCTGCATGCTACTTACCTCATGATGCTGTGCATGTGAACTACTATGCCTTTAACCTTTTAATAAAACATGTCTGTCTAGAGATGAAAGAAAAGTGTGTTTTCAATTTATGCCTAATGTCTAAAATTTGTCAGAATAATTTTGAAATTGAGATGCTGCTGTTCAGTTTCTACAGTGCCTTCACAACCTGATAATCAGTTTTCCCACCCTGACAAACTCAAAAGGATGAGCAAGTCTGTTCCAGCGTTTCTACAAGATGAGGCAAGTTTGTCTTTTGTATCTTCAGAAAAATGGAGCCAGTGGTCATGATGGTGCACTTCTGTAATTCTAGTACTTGGGAGATTGAAGCAGGAAGGTTCCTGCTAGTTCAAGCCTAGTATGAGCTACATAGTGAGATCAAGACCATCCTGGACAACATAGCAAGATGCTGGTGAGAGAGAGACAGAGAGAGAGAGAGAGACAGACAGACAGACAGACAAAAACTGAAGGGAGATAGTAGGTTTTCTATGCCCAGGTCAGTGTGTGTGTATTTTACTATAGCAAAAATCAATACAGCAGTGAGCCTTGCCTTCCCAGTCAATGGAGGCAGTGTTGTTGATCCTGGAACACAAGACATGTCTCGTTTGACTCAAACAATGACTCTTTTTGGTCAGTGAATCAGATTGCATAAATTTGGGAATGTAACTTTTGTTTCAAAGTCAGTACAAAATGAGAAATCTAAGGAGAAGTATGTTGGCATGAATTAACTCTCCCTCTGTAACCTTGAGTTGGTTTGTCAAAGTTTAATCTAGGTAGCTTGTCTACCTTAAAAACATTTGTTAAATGGCAAATGACACAACAAGCTCTAAGGAGCATCTACTAGGTGCCAGGGACTTTTTATTTATTATTTCATTTTATTGTACAACAACCATGAGAGGTAGATACCAGCATTATCCCCAGAGATTGCAGGGAGGAAGCTGAGAGGTGAAATAACCCCATTCAATCAGAAAGGGGTTGGACCAGGACTGAAGCTAAGATCTGATTTCTAGACTGATAGTCTCTATTGTATACTGTGTCAACTAAGAACATGACTCTATTCATCAAGTACCTACTCTGTACCAGACTCTAACATCCAACTCTAACCCTACATGGTAGGTACTGTTTTCTCTACCTTAAAAAATAAGAAAGGCCCTCAGAGAAATTAACTCGTTTCTCAACACTCAACAGCTAAAAAGTAGATCTAGGCCTTTAAGTTGAGTGTTTGGACTTAAGATCCTGTGTCCTTATAATCATTATGTTAGGAGCCTGAGGTCTGGTCAGACATTCTCAGTCTTGGGTATGATACTAAAGTGCTGTACAATCATGGGTAGATTCCTTAGTTGTCCTGAGTCTGGTGTCCTAGTACCTACTTAGTGATGTTGCGAGGAATCAGTGGGATAATACATAGCGTAGTGCCCAAAGCACAGTGAATAGCCACTAAAAATGTTAACTGTTATCATAGTTTTTGCTTTTGATCTGATTCCCAATGGTAAAATACAAGCATTTGCAAGTATTCTTTTAGTAGATAGAATATGAGGAAAACTGTGGATAACATATAAATCACAAATACCCCCATCCTGGTCACCTTCTGTGGATCATTCGACCTTCAATGAACTGTATTTACAAATATTCAGACTTACATATATTTAACAGCTCCTATTATAGTTTAATTTAGAATGAACCACTCAGTTTTGAAACTAACATAACTAGAAGGTAACAGTAGCCACTCTGGTTTTATACCTTTGTAGCTCTGTGTTGGTCTTGGGTAGAGATAGAAATGAACCATGTAATAATTTAAGAGTTAAAGTACATCAAGTTCTAGTTTTTACATTTTCCTTCTCCACTGAATTTTATTCTGCACAGAAGAAAGTTCAGATTATTTGGGTTTGTATATCAGAAATGCTGGCACTGAAGTATATCATTTTCCCAAATGCAGAGGCTGAATTGGACAATAAAGGACATAGGGATAAAATTAGGCCTCACTCCTTTGTCTACTGTCCATTTGAGACGGCATTACTTACATTTGTTGAGGCCAACTACATAAAAAAAACTGTTCCAGGTCAAGACAAAGTCATATCCTTCTAAAAATTCACTAATGATCTGATATGCTAATGTACTAAAATATAGGAAGTGAATTGTTCAGCATGTGGGGAGTCTTTAAAAGCTATGAACCTTTTTAATCCTTGGAAGAGAATTCTTTTGTCATTCATGCGAGTCATTAATTTTGTTTTTCTTTAACTCCTTTATACATGTGCATTAGAATTGGCATCCATTATATTGATGCATAATCGCATGGTCATGGGATATGTTGGCATGAACTAACTACTCCTCCGCAACCCTAGGATCCAGTGAACTACTCCACAAGTACTCTAACCCCAAAGAAGCTCATTGTGAATCTTGAATTTTGTAGGCTGCCATCAAATAAATTTTAGAGATAGATACAATAGCATTTGTCACTGCAGCTTTTCTTTCTTGTTTCAGGTGGACATTTCTTGGCACATATTTAAAATAAATATCTCATTGCTTTTTTGTTTTTCAAGAAATGTATTAAAATATAATGTGGGTAGAATATGTAATTGAACATACTTTCCTATAGCACCAAAAAGATAAAGCACATTAATGCTATAGGAATACATAAAGAATAGTTTAAAATTTTAAAAGAATTTATGTATACTATAGTTGAAACATACCAAACATTTCTTTTTCCTAGTTTAATAGTATCTCAATGTGATACTTTAGGGAAGCTAGAGCTATTATAATAATAATGAGAGGAATGAAGGATGATGTCTTATGTTTTGGCAAAGTACTTAAACCTTTTGTTATTTGGGTAATTTTTCATATTTTTTTATTTATTATTATATTATACAAGATAACATAAATACATGACATCAGAAAAGTAACCAAAACCTCACAATACTGCTGTATTCTGTAGCACCTTGAAGCCACATTGCATCTAGAAAAATCACTGTGTTAATCTAATATTTAAGTGCTGCCCTCTCCTTATGCTAGATCCAGTGGAGGCCACTCATGTTACCCTGAATCCCTTTCTTTGGTAATTAACATTGTCACCCTTTGACCTAGGGAAACGTCATAGAACAGAGGATACCAAGATACCATCTTTGTCTAAACATAGATTTTAACCTTGATTCATTCTGAATTTAAATACTGTGCATATTATATGCTGTTTTGTAGAGTGATGACAGAGAAACAGATACAGCATCAGAAAGCAGTTACCAGCTCAGCAGACACAAGAAGAGCCCGAGCTCTTTAACCAATCTTAGCAGCTCCTCTGGCATGACGTCCTTGTCTTCTGTATGTAAACAAAGGCTCCGTGTTAATCTCTTTCCACTGCTCTAAACCTTGCTTTGCCATGCTTCTGCTGATTGCAAAGTGGCCTCCTGTTGTCATTCTCAGTCCCCAAGGGCACAAACATTTTCTCTAATCCATAATTAGCTTCTGGTGAACTAATTTTTTTTTTAAGAATAAGGAGTTTCCTATTCATTATGAATCAAAAATTTTCAATATAAGTGCTGTATTTCAGAAATAAATTTAAATTGCCAGCAGGTCTTATCACTAAAATTTTTCTATATTACAAATGGGGTAGTGATTATAAAATCCATTTGTATCAGATCCACTTTTATATACTATTATAGGAATATAACTGTACTTCTATAATAAACTGGTTGAATAAATTTGTTGATTCATATTAAAGAACAGAAAAGATGAGTCTTTGTCTTATAGCAAGGTACAAAACAGGGTTTTAAAAGGGAATTTTCCAAAGTATAGTTGCTCAGGTTTGATTTAAAAGCAATTGACTTTACATAGAACTTCTTGCATAAAGTGAGGAAGCTATGTATTCATGTAGTATGTGTGTAGAAATATACATATGTAAGTGTATATACACTTAGCTACATATTTTCCTAATATGCATACATATCAAGCATGCAAAACAAATGATTCTGTGCTTAAATTCTTACTAGCCTTGCATTTCTGAAACCTTTTTTAAAAAATCTATTTCAATTGATTTTCTGATGATAATCTAATATATGTCCTTGGGAAGGCTTTAAACCCCTTCATCAATCACCCATTTTCTACCCCTCTTGACCTCCAAAAGTGCATGGCTCAGTAAGCATTTTTCTAAATTCAGTGACTGAGTAACGTGGTAAAATTCCTCTTTAGTGCCTTGGAAATTTAAGCTATTTGTCACTGTGATTTGTGTGCCTGGGGTTTCTCATATCCTCTTTCTTTAGCATGGTAAATACTATGCATGCCTAAAAATGGAACTCTGAATGCCACCTACCATAAAATTACTCTGTTTTAAATGAGTACCTAAAATAACTTTGCATTTCCCTAAGAGCAACTTTAAAAAAAAAACTCTAGTGATATAGATCATATCAGGTTGTCTATGTTAATACCTTTATATACTAAACTGACTGCTTTTATCTGTAAGGTAGAGAAATAATGCCAGGCAAGGATTAGCTGTGTGACCCTTGTGCTGGGTTCAGGAATGTTGCTGAGACAAACACTGTATGTTTCTGATGTTTTTAGGTGAGTGGCAGTGTGATGAGTGTTTATAGTGGAGACTTTGGCAATCTGGAAGTGAAAGGAAATATTCAGTTTGCAATTGACTATGTGGAGTCGCTGAAGGAACTACATGTTTTTGTGGCCCAGTGTAAGGACTTAGCAGCAGCAGATGTTAAAAAACAGCGTTCAGACCCGTGAGTACATTTTGGAGTTACAGCATCTACTTTCTTGTAGTTTTCAAACCAGGAATCCTATAGGAACTAGGAAGGAGAGAAAGTAATCAAATGGGGGTCTGTGTGTGACTGTTAAAAGGAATTAAAGGGAAGTGTGAGTTTTAATTATTTTGCTGTGTGAAGCCCAAAGCTTTTTATTATTATTATAAAAGCAATGAGCTCAACATCCATTCTTTTGTTTTTCTTTACATCAACCCTGGCTCAGTTAGATGTGTGCCAAGACTGATGATGTTTTTCAGTAACAAACCAATAGTTTTAAACACTATGTTAGAAATTTACTCCCACCCCTTAAAAACATATTAACTAAGGCCAAAGGAAAACAGTGAATTCAGAAAATTTCCTTTAAAAATCTTCAAAATAATACTAAGTGATTCATTCCACTAAAATTTTTTTAAATGTTAAAAGTATAAAGGTGTTGGTGGGAACGTTTATTAATTATTCCTTTTCTCAATGTTGTGAAATTACTTTTGTGGGGAATTTTCATTATATTTTTAGAACTAAGGAAAATAGAGGTAGGGACATTAATTTTATATTCTCTGAGCTTCTTGTCTATTCACATCTCTTTTTAGGTATGTAAAGACCTACTTGTTACCAGACAAAGGCAAAATGGGCAAGAAGAAAACACTTGTTGCAAAGAAAACCTTGAACCCTGTGTTTAACGAGATACTGCGGGTATCTATAAATTCTCTATGCAAGAAAATCCTAAATGGTAACCTGTGCATTGAAATAGCTGTGTCTTCTTGGGTAATATCTGCACAAAGTCACTCACTAAGGGAAAAGAAGGAAAAAAATGAATATTTTCTGAGAATGGCCTTGTGTAAGATGATACAAATGAATGTATCACATGATGTCATGCATTCCTGTGCATTTCCTGCAGGCAGGTATTAGCTACATGTCACAGACAGGCAAATGGAGCCTAGAGAAATAAAGAAATTTGCTTGAGGATGTACAGTGGATAAAGTTTAGTGTTACGATCAGAATTATCTTCCGCAGCACAATTCTGCTTAAAATCGTTCAAGATTTCCATTAGTCTATGTGACATTCATCCTTTATAACATGCACGTGGTCCCTTCAGAACCCAAACTCTGTCTTCATCTTCATTCTTTCATAATCTTTTTTCTGGTCCCTCTATATTCCCTTCTGTACTTTTAAGGAAGTACATTTTCTTTCACTGCCGTGACTTTCTGTTCTTTGAGGCCCTAAGAGCCTTCTCCACATTCCTTCCCTAACAACTTCCTACACATTTTTAAATGCTTATTCCTATAAGAACCTGTCTTTAATAACCTGTTTCCCTGCCCTTTGCTGCCTTAGTTACATTGCTTTACTACAGATTGTTCTAATACTCAGCGGTTAAACTAGTAGTTTAATTTTCTACCTTGACGCTAAATTTTAAGTTCCACGAAGGCAGGGACCAACACTGTTGTATATATACCGTGCCTTTGGGCAAATAACATGTCTGCACCTCAATCTGAAATAGGGGATAGTTTTGGGATCTACAAAAGGGTAATAATAGTACATACTTACTTCAGTAGTTATAAATATGAAAAGAATTATTATGTGTAAAGTGATTAGCACACATTAAATATTTAACAAATATTGATTAGTAGTATAGTATCTATGATAAATACCAAAAAATATTATTGGAAGGAAAGATATGTGGACAGGTGAATGGAAAATAAACCTCACTCACATATACACATTCTTTTTTCTCCCCTTTCTCCAAAATGGATTATGCTTGCTTTCTGGTTAACAAATCATTTAAAACCAAAAATATAAGCAGTGTTCTTTTTTCTATCTTTCTGAAAACTCTTAAATTTTTTATTATCCTCTGATAAAGAAGAAACAGTTAAAGGAACTCTCAATCATCTACGGTTTAAATTAGTAACTTGTGAGTATTTTATAGTAAGTTTTTGTTTTGTTTTTGAGACGAGGTTTTGCTTTATAGTGCAGACTGGGCTTGAACCCACTATGTAGCCCAGGCTAGCTTTGAACTCATGGCAATCTTGGCTCAGTCTTCCATGTGTGGGAATTACAGGCATGTTCACTGTGCCTGGATTCTATAGAAAATTTCTAATTACTGTTTAACTATGACATACCCCAGTACCCAGGCTATTTCTGGATCTGCTACTTCAACCCTATATTCAAGAAAAGCCAGCTAATTTACATGGCAGAGAAAGGCAGGTTTACTACAACCAAAATGGAAATTCAAATAGTATGTCATAAAGCCAGATAGAGATTATTTTTAGAAGTACTATTATTCCTTCCATGATTATATATAATCAAGGTTTGACCATATTTTAGATAAAACCAAATCTTGTCTGCTTGACCATAAAAAGCTGGACAAAACTAAGTTTATCTTTTTTTTTTGAAAGACATCTTGTCCTTGTGGGATATTGACAGTAAGAAGTGCATGTGGGGGGCAGATCATATCTGGGAACTCTGTACTTTCTGCTCAGTCTTGCTGTGAACTTAAAATGCTCTAAAAAACAAGTACATTTTCAAAAGTACCTTATCCTCAGGTAGAAAACAGAACTGGAGTAAATCTGATTACATTTTTAGATTGAATTTGATTTATGTTCTATCTAATCTAAAAATATCCAACAAAATTGAATGATTGGCTTTTTAGAAAGCCATTGCCAGCTATGATATCCGATCCATGGTTTGTTTTTCCAGAGGAGAAAGAATGTCAGCTTTTATAAAAGATGCATTTTAGCTCTTAGAAACAGGACACTCGGAATAAGGTGACTTTGCAATATTTGAGGGACTTGAAACCTAATAGATGAGAAAATCTGATCTACATAGATGACTTTTCTCTCCATCTCTGTGTCATAACTTTGGCATAATGTAATGTTATTCATCATTTTCATTTTCTTCTTTGAACTCCAGTATAAAATTGAAAAGCAAATCTTAAAGACACAGAAGCTGAATCTGTCTGTTTGGCATCGGGACACATTCAAGCGTAATAGTTTCCTAGGGGAGGTAGAAATTGATTTGGAATCATGGGACTGGGACAACAAACAGAATAAACAACTGAAGTGGTACCCTCTAAAGCGGAAGGTAAGTTTAGAGTTTCTTGGTGGGTTGGTTAATTGGTAGGTTGGTTGGTTTGCAGCCTGGTATACTGGAAAAAACCTCCGTTGCACTTAACTCACAGTCTGATTGTAATTTGGAATCATTCTAAACTAGGGCTGGGCTTATTTAGCTTGCACATTCAGTAAAGAAAGAGTAAGAAAGATTTAGGGAGAATGTTTAAATCAGCTAACATAAATGTTTCTGAGATTTCATGAAGGTCATTTGAGTACTTTCATCCTGCAATGTGAAACATCCTTTAAGCTTAACTAACATATGTCAGATTTTGATAAATGTTCCATGTGTCACTTGAAAAGAAAGTCATGTTGGACATAATGGTATATATCAATTAAGTCAATAGTGATTAATAAAATCTTTTATATCCTTACTGATTTTATGTCTGTGTGTACTATGAATTAGTAAGAAAGATGTGGTTATGGATTTATCTTGTACTTTTAGTTTTCTTATTTTGATTTATTTTTCTTGAGGTTATTTTATAAAGTATATACACATTTAGAATTGTTTTATTCTAATGGATTAACAATTTTGTCATTCAAAAATATACTTTTTATCCTAGTAATATTTCTTGCCTTAAAGTCTATTTTTTCCGTGTTAGTGTAGCTGTGTCAGCTTCCACACACTTACAACTTTGTTTCAGTCCTTTAGTTTTCAAACTTTCTGAATTTTTATAGTTAAGATACGTTCCCTATTGGCAATAGTTTTAATTTTTTTCAATCTGAAAATATTTGTTTTTTAATTAGGTCATTTAACCAAAGTGTGTGTGGTGTAAATATTGATATGTTTGGATACAAATCTGATCTTTGTATTATTAGGTTAATATTTGTATTATTTTTCTTATTATTACATAATTACCTCTTTTTGGTTTATCATATACTTCCATTTTCCTCTCAACTATTATGTCAGTTACAATGTTTTCTCTTTTTATTGGTTGATATAGAGGTTACAGTATTCATCCTTGAGTTCAAAGTGGCCAGTGTAGAGGTTGGAGTGTAGCTCAGTGACAGAGTATTTGCTGGGTATGCACAAGGTCCTGAGTTTGATCCTTGGTACCGACAACAAAAAAATGTATCTAGTCTAAATTAGGAATTGTATGACTTCCAGGTTAAGGAAAGAAATTAAGAACATTTTTTAACTTCATTTATCCACTCTCCTATCTTTTATGGGATTTTTTAGTCATGTTTTGATTATATGGAAATTTTAAATTCCATTTGACACTATTATTTAATAATGTATTCATTTAGATGACCATTTTTGTTTCCCTATTTCTCTGTATCCCTTTCAGTGTCTGTATGTGGAGTTGTTCCTGGAGCTCAAAGACTTTGCTTAGTTCTATTTTTAGTGTTTATCTATTGGCAATATATTTTCACAGGTTTTCACTGCATTATATCTCTTTCAAATAAGTTGTTGAAAGATATTTTTGCTTAGTTGCTATCTTGGCAATTATTTCTCTTGGCACTTTGAAGATGTTATACCATTGTATAACTAACTTGTCATTTATATTGTAAAGTCAGCTATTAATCTTATTTTTGCTCCTTTGAAAGTTATGCATCTTTTTATCTCTCATATTTGCCTTTTATTTTTAACAGATTTGATATGAGTATACTTTTCTTTGTGTTTATCCTGTTTTGTGCTCACTGAGATTCTTAGATCTATATCTTGGTATCTTTTATCAATTTGAAAGATTGTTTAGCAATTCGTCTTCAAATACTGATTTTTTTCCCAATTTTTTCCAGGCTTTCAGGAACTTCTAATTACATGTATACTATATTTGATAACTCTATCTCATATGTCTTTTATGCTCACTTCTATATTTTATATTCTTTTATTTTATCTATGCTTCAGGCTATTTTTTGCTACCTGTCTTTCAGTTCAATAATTTAATCTATCTAGCCTAGCACTTGGGAAGCTGAGGCAGGAGGATCATGTGACTTCAAGGCCAACCTGAACTTGTATAGCAAGACTTTATGTTAAAAAAAAAATCTTGTCCATTTGAATCCTTTTCTGTTTTAATAATTCTTTGACATCTTCAAGTTGATTATTTTAATCCTACATTTTTAATTTTTCTCACTGTGAGGGTGCATTTTGCCTAAGGCAATCTATCGTAGCTAGAAGTGATACATACAAACAATACAAATTTCTCTGAAGTGTGATTTAAAAAATATGGTGAATATTAAGCCATTTTTTAAAAATTATTACGGTAAAAGACAAATTGCCATTGATCTCTCAAAATATTCAGCCTCACCTCCAACACAGCCTATCACTCTTGCTACTTCCTAAAGCTGTCTGGAAGTCTTCTTGTCCGAGTGTTTTTAGTTGTGCTGTTGTGACTGCATGGAAGTCCTGAATTGATTCAAGACATTTACCTTTCATGATCATTTTGACTTTAGGAAAAAGCCAGAAGTGACACAATGCCAGCTCCAGTAAATATGCCTCCCTTTCTATTGGACAGCGTTCAGGAGCAGAAATCACCATGTTTTATCATATTTCCTAAAGACACTCAGGAAAGAGGACTTCCAGCACTCTTCAGAGAGTGGCAAAAAATATTCTTGAAGAAAAGGGGAATTTTTTTAAGAGTAGAAAGTATTTATTGAGAGAAAGCTTCTGTCTAAGAAACACAGAAGAGGTGCTGAGTGGATATCCCAAGGTCGGATATTTTGAGTGGGATTAATGGCAAAATGTTTTGAAGTATAATAAATTTTTAAAACTTTAAATATTCACTGTATATTTCATTCATAGGTCATTCATAATAAAATAGTTCCACTAAATAGTTCCCAAGTGTTGCACAAAAATCACTTTAATCAGTAATTTCTAGCTCTATCCAGGTATGGGTATGAATTGGCAGATGATAGCTATACATTGCATTAGTCAAATGTCCTGTTGCTGAGATATAAGAGCTGAGACTCACAACATGAAGGAGTGGTGCTTAATTTGACTCACGGTTTCTAGAGATTCAGCTCATAGTGAGCTGACTCCAAGGTGAAACATTATTGTGGAAGGACATGACAGCAGAGATGCTAGTTTATGGTGGTGGCTGGAAAGCAGAGCAGGCAAACAATCCTGACAAAGAAGGGGTGACAGTCTAGAGTGAGACTCCAAGCTATACCCCATGATCCACCAAGACACACCAGAAGTATGCTCCACCAGTCTCAGATCAGGTACCAAAGGCAGTCAAGATGACTTAACTACCACAAACATCTTAGTTTTAACTAGTCTCCATTAGGTTCTGATGCATACACCTCTTGAAACTAAGACGCTAACCAAGCAGAATTTGAAAGTAAGACCATCTCTCATGCTTAAAATAATGTACATATTTTTAAGTTATTATCAGTCTTTGTTATTCTTACAGAGTCCTATACACTTAGTCTCTAACAATCAAATTAATACAGCTTTGAAAATGTAAGATTACCTCTAGCTGAATGACTACACAATGTATGTGTTCTGAATATATCTCAAGACACCTTTTGCATTTCCAAGCAAGCCATTCTGATTTCTCTACCATCTTTGAGACTGAAGACCATGAAATAATTTTTAGGCAGCCTGTTGAGTTTTTCCAAGATATACAGTATTGCTTTCCCAATTATAAAAACAACAGCCTATCTCTGATACAGAGGTAACTTTGAATTCAGGTCACTCATAAATGATACATAGTCCCAGAAAGGGGCCAAATGGCTCTGTAACAGAATATCCACAAACAAAATATTAAAAATCTGTGTCTCATAACTCCTGACATTCCTGTATTTTTCAGACAGCACCAGTTGCCCTTGAAGCAGAAAACAGAGGTGAAATGAAGCTAGCTCTCCAGTATGTTCCAGAGCCAATTCCTGGTATGTAATGACTTTCTATTTATATCTGTTCTTTCCTTACCACTCTCCTCTCCAAAGATTTTCAAGTAGAACCTTCTGATTCTGTGAATATTCTCAGTTTTGTTAGTCTAGTGTACAGTCCTTCTTTTTACTGTCCCCACTTTCTCCAACAATTTGTATCCACACAATGTAAAAGGCCTTTTCTTTATTCAGAATTGGGTATCGTGATAAGAATGAAACTTGAGTAATCTCTTTCATAGATGGGAATTGGAAGAATTCATAGAAACTCCTTAAGAAATCAGAGCTCGCTGATCCTCTACTCTGAGAGTCCGTTCAAGAGATTAAGCATTTTTGTTCAAGTTTACTGTATCATTCTTCACTTCGGGGCTTCTGGTCTTCCTTTTTAGGAATAAAAACTGGCAGGAAATGAATGCCAGCCTCTACACTATCTCCCAAGCAAGTTCCCCCAAAATATTGGCCCTGGACGCTGTACAAATGTTATGACTGAAATTAGGTATTTCAGGCTCAAACTTTTTTTTTGTAACCAGGCAATAAAGCAAGGGATATGAAGAAAAAATAGATGTAAGGTAGTAGCTGAACTAAAAAAAGGTATTCTAACTAAGTTTTTAAAATTTGAAGGGTATAAGCCATGGTGGTGCACACCTGGCATCCCAGCACTCTGGTGACTGAGGCAGGAAGATTACTGCAAGTTCAAGCCCAACCTGAATTGCATAGTGAGACAATGTCTCAAAAAAAATTGAATGGCAAGCAAACCATGTATTTGGTTCAAATTGCTGCTAGACCATCATCTTATAACTTCTGGGTCTTCCTAAAAGGCAGATTCTTTTGCATATAATTTATATCCTATAATTTATGATCAACATGCATAAAAATGCCAACCTCATATCCTATTTTTCTCACTATCACTTGGTAGTTGAGAGACCCAGGGAATTGTATGTTATAATAGGTTCCACGTTGTCTGAGGTTTTGCTCATACAGTTTTTCTTCCCTGGAATGGCTTTCTCTTCTCTTCAACTTACTCAGGTCTCAGATGAAGTCCCATTTCCTCCATAAAACTTTTTCAAGATTATATTAGCCCTCATTGATCACATAGTTTTCTAGAACATTGCAGCAACAACTTCACATTTCACTCTATATTGTATATTTATAGTTTTTATTTGAATTAATTTCTCTTGCTTAATTATAAATATTTCCTGAAAGCATAAATTATTTCTTATATTCCTTGTATATTTAATGACAACATAGGGGGAGTACATTATAGATGCTCACAAAATACAGCTTGGTCAATTCATTGCATTAAGCCATGCAGAAAAATTTGAGAGTGTTCTTTTATCCATATGCACCCAGCCTAGAAAGCAATACCATACTAAGTCAACTTGTTAGTAATTCCCTACCTATAGTATTACCTATTGTATGTATATATATATATGCAATATCCCTATAAAACATTTAGACACTTTTAATAAGAAAATAGACTGTAACTTAGCCAATATTAGTTTTGGTTAATTTACACTCAAATATATTTAAATGCCTTTCACCAATACCAGCTATATGGGTATTAATGTTTAAAAGGATTATTCATTTCACTGAGATATGTTGAATATAATTGTAAATGGATGATTCACAAACCTGCTATCTGATTTTATTGAATCAAGTAAAACCCAAAAAGGAGATGAGATACCCTATACTTGGAATCTGTATGAATTTTTTTCATTCTTAGGAATTATTTTTATAGAGTTATCTGAGCTCAGCATAGCCAGACTATGAAACATAAAGTTTAGAGTGTATAGCTTAACCAATTCAGTATTATTGAGCACTTGAGCTAGATCATTTTTTAGGCTGACATCTTTAGACTTGTTAATATCAAGAAACAAACAGTTATCAAATTTTTCTCTCCTTTTTTAAAATTATAGGTAAAAAGCTTCCTACAACTGGAGAAGTGCACATCTGGGTGAAGGAATGCTTTGATCTTCCGCTGCTAAGGGGAAGCCATCTAAATTCTTTTGTTAAATGGTAACAGCATTAATCAATTGGCCTTCTTCAGGTTTACCATTTAGCTTTGTCTTTGTTGGTTGGTTTCAGCTCTCTATGTCTGTGATGTTAAAATTCTTTAGTCATAGTTTAGGTGAGTTTACTTGGAACAAATAGAGACATGAATTTTACAAATCTATAACATGAATTTCTAAGGTTTCAGTTCTAAAATCATAATACTAAAAGGGGCAGGCTGAAGCAGGAATATCACTGTGAGTTCAAGGCTAATCTGAATTACACAGTGAGACCTATCTCAAACACACACACCCCCAAAAGAAAAACCAAACATTTAGAGGTTTTTGCTATAGATGAAACTGAGTCCTCAAATGCAGATATGTAAGGTCTTTTATGGATGTATCTGTTGGTGAGGTGTATCATATTTCTAATAGTGAATGTCACACTCTGGCTTCTCTGTGAAGCAGGGAAAAATCCTCTACTTCTTTGCCTCACATGTTTTGTGGTCCATTTGCAAAGATTCTTTGTATCAGAATGAAGATATTTGGAAAATGACTTGCTACATAAGCCCCTACTAAGAGTTAGCTCACTACAACTTAAGATAGTTTGAGTTTTTAAGTAGCAAAGTTTTTCTGTTATACATTTAAAGTACATGGCATCTAGTAAATAATAACTAGATAGATTAGTATGATCTCCTTGTTCCCTCTCATTTTATCTATATAGAGTCTACTGAAGACAAATAGTAGTTATTTAAATATATATGACATAGTTTAATACATATGACATTATTTATGATTCTCCCTATATATTTTTCTCATGAATGTCAGCCAGTAAAATTTTTGAACTCAGGTTAGTCTCCCATTTTTAAACCACGGTTAGACATTTTGCCTTTATAGGAGATGTGGTAGATTAAAGTTCACTCAATTATTGTCTTAAGTAAAGCATAAGTGAAAGCAAAAATATATTATTAATTCTCACATTCAAATCTAGCAAATTCAACAGGTTTCTTTTTCAGCTCCATAATAGTAATCCCTTAGGCTATCATACTCAGGAATAGCCTGTACTTACAAATTTTAAAAAACCCTCAAGTAATTGCTATTTATTAGAACTTACTCAGTGCAAGCACCATGCCTGTCCGTAAGTCTTTTTCATGTGTTATTTAATTCTAATATCAACCTTTTGACGTCAGCATCACCATTCATACTTTGTAGATGAGGAAGCAAGTATCTGAGCAATTGACAACTTTTCCTAAAATGCCAATAATTATCTGTCATAAGTGGGAAAGTTAGGATTCAAATTAAGTCTACCCAGCTCCATTTCCGGAGTCTTTCCAGCATGATGCACCTTTCCCTACCTTCAACCAAACCACAAGTACTATCGCTCCAGTCTTTTTCCCTCCATTACCAATCTCTAATAGCTGTGCTTAAGTGTACTAAAAGCATAAGAGTTCACTATTGTACTGAAATGTTCTCACAATAATACCTCTTTTTGTAGTACGGTTCTTCCAGATACCAGTAGGAAAAGTCGCCAGAAGACAAGAGCTGTAGGGAAAACAAACAACCCCATTTTCAACCACACCATGGTGTATGACGGGTTCAGGCCTGAAGATCTAAGGGAAGCCTGCATAGAGCTCACTGTTTGGGACCATTACAAATTAACCAACCAGTTTTTAGGAGGTCTTCGGATTGGCTTTGGAACAGGTAACATCTGTTGTATTTTTAATTTTCCATGAGTCAAATTTTCCTGGAGACATTAGGAATGTGTTTCTTTGCTTCTTTCTAAGGAAAACAGATACTCTATATCCATTAAGAATAATGAAATGAATGAGTAACGGAATCACAGGCTGCATACCAGGGCCTCTGGAAATGAGGATTAACAGGGTACAGTGTCTGTCATATGGAGCTTAAATTTTGTTGGAGTATGAGGTAGAGGACAGAAATGCCTTTAACACTACTGAAAACACATTTGTGGTCTTTCAGGACTAAACAGATATTCTTTGAATAATAATAACTAATATTTATGGAGCATTAGTCACTCATTTGCATTATTTTACTTAATCTTCATAACAGTTTAATGAGGTATTTACTACTATTACCTCCAGAGGAACTGATAGCCAAAAATGTTAAGTGACAGAGCTCCTGACAGAAAGATTCAAGGTTCTAAATTGTATCTGCTTGGCACTAAAGCCTTAAGCACACTTCCTAGGCATCATCAAGTGTCATCTCCAACCCAGTGCAGAAACCTTTCAACTCTTTCATGCCACTGATATATTTTCATCCAGCTTTTACATTCATGTGAAGAGAAATCATCGTTATTGGAATTATGAGAATGATCTCCAAATGGAGTCACTCAGATGGGCAAATAATTATACTTCTTTATATCATGTCCCAGATCTGTCTTCCATTGGTGATTATTACGAGGGAATCACACACACCATCCCCATTTTCCCCCATGGGTTATTCATTTTAAATGCAAAATTTCCTTTTTTTCAGGGGAAAGCTATGGAACTGAAGTAGATTGGATGGATTCCACTTCAGAGGAAATTGCTCTCTGGGAGAAGATGGTAAACTCCCCCAACACTTGGATTGAAGCCACATTGCCCCTCAGAATGCTTTTGATTGCCAAAATTTCCAAGTAAACCCAGAGTCTTCTGGCTCCTCCACTACAAATTACTACATAGATGGAACCTAATATGGAAAATCTGACTACAGGGACAAAAATCCTCAGTTTCTATCTGTTGACACTAATGAACACTACACAGCACATTAAAGTCAATCTGTATGTGTTTCTTTGATTACAAGGCCCAAGGGACTTAAATAATGACAAGATGCGTGGCTTGTGATTCCAATGTTAAAGATATTTGACCAAGCTAGGAAAACTGCTTTTTGAATGAAAAAGCTGCCAAGAAATACTAAATCTGGGATATCATCAACCAGCAAAATTTTCTAGTTTCCCATTGAGTGTTTTGAAGCACACACCATCTTGTGTTCCAGTCCTCCTTGATTATCGAAAAATGTAGCAGTTGTAAATAGATAGAAAAATATAAAGGAAAGTTTTTCCTGGGATAGGGTGGGGAGAAGAAGAATATCAGTGATGACAAATAATTGCATAAAAAGACAAGTATGTATGCTGTAGTCTCCAATAGAATATGGAATTCCATGTTATGGCAATATGACTGCATTTATCGCATTTATTATTGTCTTCAGAAATTGCTTTCCTTTTTTCCTGGTCTCAAATGTACTTTGGTGCCACCTACTGGCTAACATGGAATTCAATTGTTGGTTTATTTTGGCTTAGTTCTATCTTAAAATAGATCTCAACCCTATAATGTTTTATAATAGCATATGTTAAAAATTTTGCATAAATGATTGTTTTTCCTTACAACTTTACTATATGAATGCAGCATAAAGGTAGCCACAGATATGCTTTGCACAAAGTTTAAATTAGAATATAAATTGTTCAATTTTATTGTACTTCCTATATATGTACAATTTTCATAAAATATTTTGTAAAAACCCTAATAAATTATCAAATTTAAATTTTATTGGAAAAATAGCTTGAATTTATTTTTAAATACATTTTTATTAGTGCACACTAATTTTATAAAACACTGTTCAATATGGCATTTTCATACAGGCATATAATACATTTGATCATATCTATCTATATTACCTTCCCTTACCCCTTCTACTGTCTCCTTGTTCCCTAACTGTTGTCCAATAATACTACTTATTTTAATGGAATACTTTATATTAAAAATCCTGAAGTCTAAACTCCCTAACAAGGCTAATATAATTCTGTAGGGCTAATACTTCTTCATAATCTTTAACTCTTGGCATTGTTTCACTTAAATGGGCATCTTTGGCTACATTAGTAAGAGTAGAATTTGGGGGTTATTTCTTAGTGGTGGAATGTTTGCCTACCGTATGAGAAGCTCTGGGTTTTGTCCTCAGTAGAAATTTTTTTAAAAAAAGAATAGTTGAAAAATTTGAAGATAGCTTAATGTTTCATCTTAAAAAGTTTTCCAGAGATTATTTTGAATGAGTTTAGTACTCAAAATATTACTCCCCCTTAGGACTCAGTACTTATTTAAATGTGAGTTAGGAAAGCCTGGGTAATGAGCGAGCATGAGATCTTACAACAGGCATCTAGTAAATGTCATTAAAACCACTTGTCTCCCTCCCCAAATAGATACTAGAGCCTCTTATTTACATGCCAGTAAGAGGGACTAACCTAGGACAATGCCCTTTCTTTGTTCCCCCAGTCTGTTATGGGAGTGTTTAGTTCTGTTCTTGCTGAACTTGGAGAAGAAAAAAAAGAAGAAGAGTTAAATAGAGTTTTATCTCCCTCCAAGATTGATTGGAACACAGTAGCAGCAGTGCAAACCCCACTCTGCCTCATGCTATGTCACAGTACAAAATACTTTCTTGGCCCTCTTTTCATTATCTGTTTGACTACCTCCAGGCATCCAGCCTGGTCTGGAGTACTAAGGAGATTGATTGTGGTATCGTCCATCTAAAATGAGGATGGCCTGCCCCTTCCATACTGAGATCTCTTAGCTTTAGAAGATCATATTGGGCTGGGGATTTAGCTCAGCAGCGAAAGCGTCTGCCTGGTAAGTATGAGGTCATGAGTTTCACTGGTACCAAAAGGAAAAAAAAAAAAACATCATACTGAACAACCTCCTTGCAACTACCTGAAGCACATCAAGCTGCTTCTGAAGTCTAAAGGGATTGCATGCCACATTTCCTTCTGGAAAAGAAAATACAAATCATAAATTTAATCTCATCTACCATAAGAAGAATGCTAAGTGTGAGCTTCCTGAATTTTAAAATGTGATCTACCTGAATTCTTTAGGGATCTGGGTGACAGGCTTTTGAACCAGTGTAACTTTTAGCCAAGGACTCTGCTGAAACTTCAAAGCATATTTTCTTAAACTGAAGGCATTTCCTTGGATTGAATGTTCTGGGACATTTACTTATTTATAAACTCAGAATAAGCAGGAAAGGGGAGATTTACTAGACAGATACAGCCCATGGAAACTCCGGTTATGCTGGGGCTGGGACCAGATGCCTCCCCTCTCACAGAGAGGGGGAAATAGTACCTCCTATAGCTCTAGCATCACAGCTGTGCCACAGGGCCTCTTTTCTTACTTCTGCTAGAGAAATCTCCAGAGAAAACTGGTTAGCCTTTGACTCAGTCACCCACCTTTTGGGCCATTTATTGTAACCAAGAATGGATGAAGTAAGATCTCATGATTCCCACAGCAAGCCTGGGTATTCTGCCTACCTTGTGTCCATGGGGCAAATGTTCATAGAACAATGGAATGTTGTGTAAACACAGTCGATATTCATAGTGTTTTGAACCTCTCTTAAGTGAAGATACTTCAAAATTGTATTATTTTTTCAGAAAGAGTAATATTTCTTTTAAAATTTTACTTAAAGAAAGACTAAACAAAACAGAAAATGGGTAGAAATAATACATACATTCAGAGAAAAAATAAACAATAAGAAATCACTAGTTAATGTTTGCATACTGTCCTTTTACAAATAGTTGTTCAAGACACAAAAGTGGAACATATAAAGCAGGAATTCAAACAGCGAGACTGCAAACTGTTCTATTCAACTATCCAACAAAAACTTAGTAATATGGTTGTCAATCCTATATGTTTAAACATAACATGCAGTTATCCATATCTTCATTTATGTTGAGATTAAACAAACTAAAGCAGGCTAAAGTCATTCGGAACAAAGAATAATAGTATTGCTGGATTTTACACATGACACTCTGGGATTAGCACTGGGTACTGTAGTATCCCTTTTTTCTTCAGTTCATTTCATCATGCATCATAAAATAGTTCTCATAAACTGTTTATAGATTCTACACATGCATGAGTCTTAACATGTATTTCTATATTAGAGGGAGAAACAAAACAAACTAAGACAAAACAAAACATTTTCCTATAAACACATGAAACAAAAAAGACGTATAAGACCACTGTACAAGTAATTCTACCATAGTTCCTGTGTTGTCTTTTGTTCTCTTCAACAGATTTGGCTATATCATGAGACATTGTGTAATTGACTATATCACTACGTAACAGTATTAATAAAAATATAACTTTGTATATAATATAAAACTTCAAAAGCAGGCAGTTATCAAACCAGAATGTGTATCATAGAGTCTTGTCATCTTCAGTGTAGTTGCCTATACTCTCAGACTTGATACTGTCAATCATATCAGTTTTGAATAAAATCTGTCAATACCAAACAGCAATCAAACAAACCAGATTTAATTAAGATCAGTCATGATAAAACAGTGTAAGTCAGACAGGGCTCCAGATTAAGATAATAGGAAATTAAAGATGATTACTGTGCTATATCCTGGTGTTTTGGGGACAGCTGTCTGTGCCCTCAAATCTAATGCAAGTAGACAAACTGGGACAGAATAAAATCTATCTAAGTAGAGTGGTGCAAATAATGTGGGTTTTAAATCCTGATACACTATTAACAATATCTTCTGCCATCTTTTTAAGACTCTCTCTCCTCTTTCATTTCCCCAGGGTACACTGTGCATTTTGGGGTCTGACTAAGACCCTTGGTTTTAAATTGGGTGGGGGGGACAACTTCCTATTTACCTAAGTGGTTCTGAACCTTCTCTCTCCTGGACTTGATCTCTAATTGTATTCCTCTACCTATTAAAGCCTGTCTTTCCAACCTATCCACAAATACTGGTAAAGTTGCCTCTATTATTCTCTGGTTCTCTGTCACATAGAACATTGTTTTCTTGTATTTGATTTTCAGTCCATGTACTCTTTTTCATGTTAATTATATTTCCTATAAATAGCATCTTAGTAGACCCTGCCTCCTAATCTACTCCACGTGTGTTATTTTTTTTAATTGTGTATCAAGGCCATCTATATCAGAGATTATAACCAACCTTCTCTGCCTCATTTCTGTTATGCTCTTTTTTTTGCCATCAGTTGTCTGCTTATTCTTCATTCTGTTTTCTGCTCCATTCATTAGGCCTCTCTGCCACTGTTCCTGGAATTCTAGTACTTTTCTCTCTCTCTAGAATGCCTTGTAGTATTCTCTGTAGAGTTGGATTGGTGGTTGCAAATTTCCAAAGTTCCTCTTTGTCTTAGAAGCATCTTGTTTCTCCATTAATTTCTAGAGACTGTTTAGCAGGGTATATCGAACTGGGTTGGAGGTTATTTTCTTTCAGGCCTTGGAATATTTCACTCCAGGATCTTATTGACTTGATGGTTTGTGTTGAGAAGTCTGCCATTATTCTGATGGGCCTTCCTTTATAGGTTATCTGTTTCTTGTCTCTTAACAGCTTTTAATATTCTGTTCTTATATTGAATTTCTGGGATCTTGATTATTATATGTCTGGGTGTAGCTCTGTTTTGGTTGTAAGTGGCTGGAGTTCTGTATGCCTCATACATGAGAATATCATTTCCTTTTCCTATGTTTGGGAAGTTTTCCTTAATTATTTCTGTGAATAGCCTTTGTAGTTCCTTTGTTTGTATCCCTGCTTTTTCATACACATTCTTTATTCTCAAGTTATAGATCCTCCTGTTGTCTTCTAGCTTTTGTATTGTTACTGCTTGTTTCCTAGTTATTTTTTAAAAGTTCTTCCTTTCTTAATCCCATATTACAAAACTGTCCTCCAGTTCAGATAATCTGTCCTTAGCTTCTTTCAGGCACATTTGCCATCTCTCCATAGAGTTTTAAATTTCCTGATAATCTCTTTGAATCTGTTTCATGTATTCTATATTTTCTTTATATTCTTCATCAAAGGGTTCTCTTCTTTGTTTGAGTTCCTCCCTTCTTCCGTCTGTGTCTGCTGGAGGGGTGCTTAGCATCTCTTTTATTAATCTTCTTATATCTTGCTTTACTTGGCTAAATATTTCACTTTTGAACTCATCTATGAGGTCCCAAAAGTATCTCTTTATGTCCACTGGTGCCATGTCTGATATTGCATGTTTACTGTCCTCATTCTCCTTTGTATTTACCTGTCCTGGGTCAATGTTCTCAGGGTTGGGACCTGGGGACTTTGTCTTGTTGCTTCCTCTTCCCATCTTTTTTGTTTCTTCCAGGAGGCCCTAGTTTCTTTCTTTGTTGGTTACAATTCTTCTGAAGCACGCTGGCTAGGTGACCCTTCCCACTGCAGTGTGCTAGTGAGTTGCAAGCAGGGGCAGCGTATGGTGGCCTCTCCCCTCCGGATTAGTCAAGCTGCTGAGGCCTGCACTGTATTACTGTGCACCGCCTCCCTCTCAATCAAATTTCTGAGACTTCACTGCATTAGTATGTGCCACCACCATAAGGAATTGATTTCAGATAACCTATTGGGTCTTCGCCAGGTCACGTGACCCAGGCCTAGCTCACTCCACCAATCCCATTCAGGAAGGGAACAACTGACTGAAGTCACCGCTGCCTCTTGTACTTGCCAGTCCTGCCAGGCCCCAGAACGTCATCTGCCGGAGCCCCCCTTTCTGAGGAATGGCTCCACTCCTGTCATTCACCACAGGTTGATGCAGGC